ATATGTCAGCATACAGTGTAATGATGCAGGAGTCGCTTTGTACTTACACTTCGATTTCGGTGTCAATGCCATCGAATCGAGCCACTCGCCAGCAGATCAGCCGCATAAAGTAGGCACGCACCATAGGGCACCAATGGTTGAAACGGCTTTCGAAAAATTCAGGTTCCAGAAGGAACTCGAGGCAAAGCCCTTCCTTTCGTTGGTCGTCCGAGGTCAGAGTTGCCCAACTGCTGTAGAGGAAGGCGTACAGCCTAATCTCGGTAGCGGTGTTGTGACTAGCAGCCATGGCTTTGAACACAGTCAGCCAGAAAGGCCAGTCCATGATAGCATGGTGGTCGCTGTCGTGTTGCTCGTAGCGAACAAGGATGACAAGAGCCTCTTCAAGAAAGTCGCAGAGGGTATAACAGGCACTGTTGTTGTAAATTGAAATCTTGCGTGCTTGTGCCTGCAGAAGACGAGCAAAACTCTCGGCAAACATCTTCCTGGCAATGTGAAAATGAGCATTTCGTTCGGAAAGGAAATCGCGTATTAACATTATGATTCGGTTTTCCTGCATCATGCGGGTGGCGTTTGCTGGCGGAAGAGCGAGATTCGAGGCAGAAGCATCAGGTTCCAGGACATCGTCAAAGGTAATTGCCGATGTATCTTCCGGTGGCTGCTGCTGCTGCGGTACAGCATTCCTGTTGATGGTTGCATCCAAATTAACCAAAAGCTGGGCGTGCACCATAATCAATCCAGGAACACAGATGCGCTCTGCATTGGTAGGCTCAAGGGGCAGGAAATCGCTGACCAGAATGTGGAAGTGCTTGACAAAAACGTAAAAAAGGTCGCTCTCGGCGCCAGACCAGCGCTTTGTCCAAAGTCCGTACCAGTCGATGTTGGCCATGGCAAGCGGGGGTAAAATGGGCTTGCGTAATTGACGCATAAGTCGGTTCAGGGACAGTAGCTTGAGCGGGAGCAGCATAGGTGGGAACGATGCTGCAACTCGGTCGGATACGGAATCCAAGCGATCCATCTTTGACACACCAGACTCTTCCATTACCCGTTTCATCATTTCGAGAGATGGGCTCCATAGACGCACCAAAACATCGGCAACTCCAGGGCAGAAGCAGAAAGCATATGCACATGTTTTTCCACAGAACGTGACCAGACTTGCAGCAGCATTTCGCAAGGACATTTTCTCTACGACAAAAGCCATTTGGGACTGCAAGTTTTGCGTGAAGATGTTGCGCACATTGTGGTGAACAGATTCTGCAAGGAAATCGGCCGAGCTGGTGGTGGAGGCACCCGAACTAGTTGTAGATGCAGACAATGGTTCTTCGCGGTCTGCAAGAGCACAAAAGGGCGAGGGGTAAAGTCTCCATTCGGGCCTCTCCATGATTGCAGCGATGCCTTCGAGGATAACTGGACGGTCTGTGCCAGAGATGGACTGGTTGTTCCGGCCTGCCACGAGCTCCAAGAGACCAGTCCACCAGCCATTGAGGATATTTACACGGCGGTCGAGATCTTCAGGCCTGAGCTTCTGGTCTACAGGGCGATGGGCGTGTTGGCGGAGAAAAGGAAGGAGGGAAGTGCGAACCACGTTTGCTTTGAGGGAACTGGATTTGGATTGGAACCTATGTATTATTAGTTTGAGTTTATGTTGTTGGAGCAAAGGAGCCATACTTGCGCAGATCGGCATCGAGGGATCTAAATGCGTTCCACAACTCATCCTTTTTGCGGGGTTCAATCTTGATGCCTTTTAGCTTTTCGGCAGAGATGTCGCGTGGTAGCGGAGGAACGACGTGGGTGGGGCTGACTGGCGTTTGATGCTGAGGATAATGCGGGAGCTGTTCAGTTGAGAATGACTTGGGCACCGAGGGCGAGTTGGAGGCATTGGCAGTTGCGGTGAAGAGGCCACTGAGGCGCTTGTTCTTCTTGCTCAAAGGAGTTGGGATTTCCTCCTGTACAGTGTCTCTTGCCTCGGACTCTTCTGGGATACTTTCAGTTGTCGTCTGCGTCTTCTGCTTGGCTGGCTCGACGGCTGGTGGTGTCTTTTTTGGACTAGGTTCCTTTTTCCTGAGTTTCTTATCCTTGGATGGTGACGTCGATTCTCGCGACTGTTGCGGGCCAATGACCCACGACTTCCTGCGCAGGTTTGTCAAAGAGCGCGAGGGCGAAGGAGAAGGCGAGTCTGCCTGCTTGACAGCCTCTGGTCGGCCGCGTTCTGGCTTTGGTTCTGCGGAGGGATCTCGGCTCCTAGTGGAGAAGGGCAGAAACCTTGAGGAGCGGCGGGTCGTTGGCGTCGGTCTTAGCTGAGGCATCTGCACGTCGGGCAGCTCTGGAGCATCCTCTGACGAGGGACTAGACCCATCTGAGTGGCTCTCGGAGGTCCTCTCCTCGCTCCTGGAGCGATCGGCATCATCTTCGGAGGCTCCCCTTCGCTCAGCAACAGGCGAACCCTTGTCGAGATCCTTCACCTGAGGAAAGTATGTGTACGAGGCAGCCTTTGGCAGTTGGGCGCGCTCGGGTTCCTGGGGCAGCTGGAGGACGGCGTCGGAAGTGGCCCTGTTCCTGCCGCGGAGGGCATTGGTGAGGGAGTAGTGGCTGCGAGGAGCCTGCGCGACGGCGATGGGCATGGCGGATTAGGGAGCGGGCGCAGCGAAGCAGTGGCTAGACAGCCCTTCTTCAATGCAAGTTGGGTACGCGTCTCGGACAGGCTACGGGCTCATGGCGGAGTAATCGGACGGGAAGCGGCGTGGTGGTGTCGAGCTGGTATTAGGCGGGCCGTTGACAAGGCCGTTAGACGGGCTCCAATAGAGTAGCGACAGTGGTTGCGGGAGCGACGTCACAGTCGAGGCTGGGGGGCGCCGGGGAGGAGGAAACAGGCAGAGGCTTATTGGAGGGGGGAGGAGGGGTGCAGCGGGGATGTGCAGCAGCAAAGCAACAGGGAGGGTGAGAGTAGAGAAACAGAAAGGCAGTTCAGCGAGTGTTCAATAATTCGGCGAGCGTTCAGTAGCGACTGGACTGGCAGAAGATTCAGGTTTGAGATTCTGGTCTGAGCTGGGAATGCTACTGGCGGCACTAGTACATAGATAGGACGGCTACGGGGGGGGCCAGCAGGTTGATTGAGCTAGTATTTGCAGCGAATGGTGGTGGTGGTGGTGCTGCTCTATTGCCTCGATGGTGTGGGCGCGCGGGTGCAGGCCCACTGGCGGGCTAGCAGGGATGCAGGGCAGATCGCGTCGGAGCGATGGTTCTATATTAAAAACGGGTGCAATTCGTCGCAGTCGTGTCATCTGCCATTCGTCTACTGATGCGCCCTGTGCCTGTGCCTGCGCCGTTTGCTTGACGTGCTCGCTCTCGCGCCTTTGCAATCCCCATGGCCGGCTTGGCCGCTGGCTGTGTCGCATCGCATCGTCGACGCCATTGCCGCCTCGCATGTCCAGCGCATTATAGCCATGGGCCGTGTTGGCTATGGATCGAGGCATGTACTACTTGGTATTACTGACTGCACATATTATTATCAATAATACTCTGCCAGTGCACCCGCCCCCTAACAGGCCCCTACTGCTCGCTGCGACTGCTACTGCTGCTGCTCGCTAGGCCCCAGTGGGCCCGCCGAACCATCTTGTTTTTTCGCGACGTGAACTGTGAACACTGCAATCTCTGCAGCGGCCTTGACCGCAATCTCCTTGCCCACTGCTCAGACCTGACACGCTGCTGGTGGCCCCCGCGTGCTTATCGCCCGGTTTCAGCGTGAAGACATCGTTGCGTCAGCCCTGGGCGTCGCCTGTCCTGTCTGTGTCCTCCTCGCCTGCGCGTGTCTGCTTCGCCTACCACTGCTGCTGCTGCCAATGGCGCACATGGACATGGATACGGATACGGCTGGCTGGCTGCAATCCAGGGTAAACCCCTCAACTGACCATCCGTCTGCGTCCGCCTTGATCCATACTATGGACATCCACTAGTCGTGCACCATGCATGCCAAAGCCGTAAGTGTACACATGCGGCAGAGCCCATCCGCTGCTGCATTCAACATTTCCGCCCTCAGGCCCACGCTTTCGCCCTGTTCCTCCGACTTTCCGACCACACTAGCCGCCAATATCGGGAATTGCTGCCTGCAAGACAGTCGGCACTGCATCCCGTGGCTTATCTGAGGGGCCGTGGTTTGCTCAATTTCCTTGGGACATGCACATGTAATGCAGCAGATCAATCGGCCTATGCTGCACGGCGCGGAACAGCCTGCGTCGAGTCAGTCGTAAAATATACATACATACGTGTCGTACGCGCATGTTGATCAAAACAGCAATCCACCACCGCTAGCATACTTACTACTGTCACCATGCTGCCGAACGTGCGTCTTTGCTGACTGACATGGTCCCTCCCCAATCCGACGCTCCCAAAAGCAATTCACTCTTGGCAACTCTTGTCCCCCATGCCGAAACTCACGCTCCGCCACCCTCTCCGCGTCCTGCATGCCACGCATCCAACAAACTTGCTTCTCTCGCCATAGCCTTCGTCATACACAATGGCACTCACAAAAAGTACTGCCTTCAACAACCAAAGAGGCGGCCTCCATGCCAGTCTGTGCTGACATTGTTGCGGGATATTTACATCATAAGAGTGATGAGCGTGTAGATCAATGGCCGCCATTGACCGCCCACAACCATGGCTGCTGAATGGCTCAAACTCACATTCGGCCCCCGACAATGTGCACGTACACGTACTTACATACAGCCAATATGCTCGAATCCCCCCCCCGTGCAACCCCCATCCATGTCCTGCTACTTACCCTTGATCCCTCCACTAATCTACTCTGTTCACTCAATCAAACAATCAATCCACATAGGCCCTATCACATAAGCAATCCACTAGTCGTCACTCGCATATCTCGTCACGTGATATACATGCTCCCAGACTATGCACCCAATGGCTCGGCACTTTGTTGCCCAAGTGGTATTGACACAGTCGCTAGTATTTTGATACATCTAGTCCTTCAACCCAGCAGTCTTCTGCGTCTAGTGGGTAGCACCGGCGGTGGTGATGCTCTCATCCTCCTCCTCAAACCAGTCCTCCTGGGGCAGGACCTCGCCGTCCTCGGATGAAGCGCCCTCAACCTCAACAGTCTGTGTCTCGTATGCCTTGAGCTCGCTCGCAATGTCCGTCTCCTCGGGAGATGCGGGGGCCTTGGGGATGGCGAACTTCTTGACCTGGCCCTCGGCGTCAGAGGCCTTGACTTGCGGGACCTTGTAGTTCTTAAGCTCGCGAAGGTACATGTCCTGCACCAGGTCGGCTACAACACCAATTGGGTCAGTTATTGTCGGATTTCGAGCGGCTAGGATGAATCACCTGATCGGACGGCGGTGGGGGTGATGAAGGTGCGGCGAGCGACGTAGGCAGGTTGTTGCCGGGCGACGCGGACGAGCGCCTGGCGCTGCAGCGGATCAGTACACATCCAATTCTCACCAGCAAGAGAAGCCTACCGAGGCCCTGATGGATTGCGCAATCATTGTTGATATGTCGGGGGTGGGGAGCTGGCAATTGGAAGCTACAAGGTGAAGGTCGATGTTGGGGAAAAACCGTGGACCGCAGCTTGACCTGCCGCCCAAGACGGCCTAGCGCGGGCGGAGCGCCAAGCCTCGTAGGCAACGGGCTGCGCGCTCGAGACATAAGGTTTCCATTGCCGTTCTCCGACCTTCGTTCCCCCAGCCCTCTGCAACCACACTCGTTTCCTGCGTCCCTTGCCCAAGAGCAGTCTCCAAGTGTCGGTCTCGCGAGCCCGTAGCTAGAATCCACAATACAAGCCTAGAACTTCGTGAAGAAAGAAAGAAACATGTCTTACGCACCCGACGGCCGCCTCCTGTCGCCTGGTGAGGTATACGAAGCCGCGCCCGTGCAGGTAAAGGACGACGAGTGGCAAGAGGACCTGAACGTTGCTTTGATCTGCCCCGACTGCAAAGAGAACCCTCCCAATCTGGTAGAGGAGTTCAGTGCTGGCGATACCATTTGCGGCTCCTGTGGTCGCGTCCTCGCCGACAGAATCATCGACACCCGCTCGGAATGGAGAACCTTCTCCAACGACGGCAAGTGGCGCCCTCCTACTTGCATCAGTGAGGCGCATGCTAACATTGTATCTTGCTTTAGACCAGGGCAACGATGATCCATCACGTATCGGTGACGCTGCCAACCCCCTTCTGCACGGCTCCCAGCTTCAGACTGAGATCGGTTTCGGTGACGGTGGTATGAGGGTTCGCGATCTTTCCAGGGCTCACAACAAGAGCAACCATGACAAGGTCAACAAGGCGCTGCAGGCTGCCTACGGTCAGATCACAGCGCTCTGTGACAGTCAAAACATTAGCAGACCGACGGCCGAAACGGCCAAGATGCTCTACAAGATGACGGACGATGCGAAGCTGTTCAAGGGCAAATCACAGGACGCTATCATTGCCGGCTGCATCTTCATCGCATGCCGAAAGCACGACCAGCAGCGTAGTTTCCGTGAAATCTTCAAAATGACCAACGTGTCCAAGAAGGAAGTCGGCCGTACCTTCAAGGTCCTCGAAGCCTTTATCCAGAAATCACAGAACAGCGGTCCATCAGTCGCCGGAAACGGAGCTGTCATCGACACAGTCAACCTCCTCAACCAAAAGGGCGGCACCACTGCCACCAGCGCCGCCAGCCTCATGCCTCGTGCCTGTGCCAAGCTAGCTCTAGGCACCCAGGTCCAGATGGTGGCCGAAGAGTGTGCCGACCAGGTCGCTCACTACGGTGTTGCAGCCGGTCGATCCCCTCTGTCTATCGCTGGTGCCTGTCTCTACCTGGTCTCACATCTCATGGGCCAGCCCAAATCACCAAAGGAAATCGGTCTCGCCGTCGAAGTCAGCGACGGCACCATTCGTACTGCGTACAAACTCATGCATATGGAGCAGGATAAGATTATCAAAGATGAATGGATTGCAAAGGGTGGTGACCGGTCTAGGATCCCTGCTGCTTAGATTTTTTTTCTTGTTTCAATTACTACACAAGGAAGCTTGGGGTGGGTGTTGTACTGGTTTCACGTTTTGGACTTTTTTTTTCCTCTTTCTTTTCTCTCCTATCAAACACCCGTTCTTATTTTTCTTCTCTCATCAAAATCAACATCTCATGGCATGAAAAGGGTCTGGAGTTTTATTCTGTGTTTTAGACCTTTTTCTTGGTTTTTTTCGGTTCCTTATCTCGGTTCTTCTTCTTCTCCTTCTTTTATTTTACCAAATTGGTTTGTTTGTTTCTTTTTCGGATGGGGGATTTTAACGCCTGGAGAAGGAGAAACAAAGATTGAGACGGCCAATTGCCATGAAAAAAGATATGATACCCGGATAGATTGGCGGGGGGAGGGGGGGGAGGACAAATTCGGAAGGAGAATATTCAGATTGTGAAAAATGGGCGGTTCTTTTTTGGGTTCCGTGCGGGTATGAAGTAGTGTCAAAGGAGGAACTACTACAACTACACAGAAAATGAGAATGCTGTTGCGGTGTATACGTTCGTTTTGTATACCGTGATGCTAAATCCTTTGTCCTTTTCTTCTCTCCCCGCACCCCGGGTTCATGCAAAATTGTATTTATCCCGCTCAAGTCTTCACATGTCATACCCATTTACCTCTATTTAACTTACATGCGTAGATTGACATTTAAATTACTATTCCCTCCCCAACAAAAACCGCATTCACCGGTTGTCCTCCACTCCCATTTGATACAGAGAGAGATTTCTATTCGCTGAGAACAAACTCTGCTTTCTTCATAACATTCAATCCAGATAACCTTCTCTTTGTTGTCATTCCAATATCTGCGTTCGCATTTGGCTATTGTATGAGCCCTTTACAGACCGAGACTATTACCGATATATTCTAATTAGCAAAATGTATCCCAGACAGCAAAAGATTTCGATTCCACCAAAAAAACAAAAAACAGTAGAAGTCATATTAACCATATCAATTCTAAAAGACCTCAATTCTAACCGATTATGATATCACAACCCCCCCCCCCCCCAACCAAGGCCAACTCTTTCGTAAACCTTTCTTCCTCTAATCCTTACGCAAATTTCCATCACCATAATCTACACCCAAATTTATACCCATCCATCCATACACAATCAGATTCAAGCCTCCAACATCCGTCCCTTCATCCACTCGCCAAACCCCCCCTCAGCAACACTCTTACTAAACGCGACCCAAAAAGCTTGTTTCTCGCTCACAGGTCTTGCACACCGCTCAACCAGCGCTTTAACCTTGATATCCCTCAAGCCTTTAATAGCCATGACCTGCTCGGCCCACTCGAGATCGACACCACCGAAATCTCCGCTGCCGCCAAGCCACTCGTTCTTCATGCGCAGCATGGTATCGAAGTCGGAGGGGTTCATCGGGGTGATGGAGTCCCAGGCTTGGTCGGGCTTTCCCGCAATCATTTGGAGCTTGAGCGTGCTTAGATGTATGCTGGGCCCGCCGCCTGCAGCTAGCGTGTTGTCAGTTGCGCCGGCTAGGTACGCGCACATTCCTGCCCATTCTGCGCGGTCGAATTCCTTTGCGTATGGTAGGGCTTTCTTGGTCAGACTGAGGTGTCTGATTGAGGCCCGGCTTCGGGGTGTGAGGTCCGAGAGGAAGGGTACCACGGCTTCCACGCTCATGTGGAAACTAAAGGTGTATGTGGAGTAGAGCATTTTACTCGCTTCGGCGTGTATTTGTGAGTTTACACACATGAGGGAGGGGACTGTGTAGCGTAGATGTGCGGTGTAGGGCGAGAGGAGGACGCGGTAGGTCGTTGGGGCCGTGGTTGTAAGGAACGGGCCTTGGAAAGTTCAGTCAGCAGATGTCTTGTTTGTCTGACAGAGCATTTGAGAAGTATCCGTGGTTCGCGTCTTACGCCCTCAATCTCCACGATATTTTCAAGCTGTCGAAGAATCTGACTTACCAGTTCTGACATGATAAGTACTCCTCCTTTTCCATGTCTTCAAGCCTTGACCCCCCAGCCAAGGGTCTATTGTCCGTACGCTCAAGGTGAACGGCTCATTGTTCGTGTCCTCGGAGAAGTAGGTATGGAAATCGGGTACCAAGTTCGCAACCGACGTTCCGTGCCCAGAGTAGGGAGTCTTTGAGGGTAGCAGTAGATATTCGTAAATCATAAGGCGGATCTCGAAGGGTAAACGGAGAAGTGACGAGGTTGGAAGACCCTCAGTCATGATGGGTGTTGATTCCATGACAAAGAGTTATCTGTAGCTGAAACTTGGGCGCAACCTACACAGTTGAAGCGTACTAGATGCCGCAAAATGTGTTGGATTACGGCCTGCCAGGATAACGACTGATGTCAGAAAGCAAGGGAACTTTTAATCAGTCAATCAATCAGCGTAATGCTTTTGACTGTGGCGTGACTCAGATGCTTCTCAGTTTCTGGAAACAATGGCCAGTAGAGCAAGGTACACGAGATAAACCGCACAGTCAGAACTAAAAAAGAAGGTTTGCAGGCAGTGGACGGGCCGGACGGGCACGACGCCATTTTGTTTATCAACGTGTTAGGCATTGCGTGTTGTCCCGTCTCGTCACCGGCATTACAATGCTGAAAAATAAACTCGGGCAATACCTTGATGACCAGAATGCATGGCCGCGACCACCTTGCCACATAGAGTAAGGACCGTTGGGTGATCTGTACTCGATATAGTATGGCGGCAGATCTAGAAGTGCAGTAGCTTGCCGAAGGTTGGCTGAGGTGGAAATGACATTCCGAGGGCGTTGCTATCGATAAAGTTGAAGGCGGTGTAGAAACGTAAGACACAGTCCGGCGAAGCTGATATGAATTGCGTGTTACACCGAGATTGTTTCGACAATCAGTAATCCGGCACATCGCAGTTGCTGACTTCACGTGAAACTTGCCGGCTAGTGCCAGCACCGACGTTACTATTTTGTCAAAATAGCCTCGGCAGCGATTGTGAAAGATCCTATCGCCATGACGAAATCGAGACTTTAGCTGAGCAAGGCGTCTGTCGGATAAGGTAGTGATAGTGCGAAAATCACATCGGGGATGTGTCGGAACAACCACAATTGTTTGCATGCCTTGTATCGGCCCTTTTGGTTAAGATTCGGAAAACATGCCCTGGCCTGCGCTTGTGCTGTAGCGTGGCAATGGCTATTGTAGTTACATAGAGTAGTGTAGAATGGCCAGGTGGCGGGAAAAGCTGTGCTGGTCCATAGCGGAGCTGTTATGAATGTATGGCTGTAGAGTAGTAGTGTTGACATTGGATTGATGGAAAAAAAAGTGAGTGTTCAGTACTCGTACATAGTTGTCACAGGCAAAGTGGTTAGCGTCTCAACCCAAACAGGTACGTACCTGCAGCGCTGGACCCTGTGCCAAGGCCCAAACGTCATCGCAACAGGACGAGGCAGTCTGCATCCGAACACATCTATCGGTATCCTCGCAAACTGGCGGGTCTCGACATTCACAGCAGCCTGAAAAATTACGCAACTTCTCCACAGCAATGAAAACACGAGTTCATGCCATGTTCAATGATATCATTGCTCAGCTGTAGCAGCTCCATCCCCAACTCCGTTGAGCTATCCTAATCTCAAGTGTTGCTCTTTGCCCACCCCCTAAACCTTTAGCTATACCCTAATACAATTTTCTCTCAAAGTGCCAGAGAAGAAAACTCGAGTGCAAGCAGAAAACCAGACAAACAAACATCTTTTTGAGTTTATCCCTCCCTTGCGGATATGAACGCCTCGCGACTGAGCACGTAAACTTTAACCAAGTGACCCGTAAAAAAGAGAGGATGCAAGAGGAGAGGAACAAGAAACGAGATTGTCATAATACAAAATCTGAGGCCTTATCAAGCGTATCAAAGAAACATGCTTTTCCGTGCCATCAGTCAACTCAAAAGAAACGGGAAAAAGAGAAATTGGTCATTGGCCATACCCATTCGTCATCATGATAGGACTTGACCACGTCCCCTTAAGCACGCATCCACTTCTCCCAATTATGATTATATGAGAGACGGCATCTAGTGCTGCCCGTAATTTCCGCCCCAACCTCCGCGGTTGTAGCTGTTACCGTATCCTCCGAATCCACCGTAGTTGCCATAGCCGCTCTGCTGGTGGCTTCCAGAAGTCTGGTGACCAAGCCCGCCTAGGCCACCGTATCCGCTGTTGCCAAGGTGGCTAGGGTAACCACCATAGCCTTGCTGAGCGTGCTGAGGTCCGCCTTGTCCGGGAGTGCTCTGGTTAGCTGAGCCAGGACGGCCAGGCTGGGCCCCAAGAGCAGAAGGGCTTGGTCCTCCGCTCTTGTAGTCACTGGAAGGCTTGAGGGCATCGTCGCCAATACCCTGTCCACTCTGTTGGCCATATGAGCTCTGGTGGAAGTTTCCAGGACGAGTAAAAGTATCAGGAATAGCGCCGAATCCTGCACCTCCAGCAGTTGCGCTAGGGTTCTGAGATGCGGCCGAAGCTGAACGACCGTAATCGCCAAAACCTCCAGCTCCGCCACTACCACGGTCGTGCAAAGAGGATGCACCAAAGCCTCCAGCATTTGCCGGAGAAGATGAGTGCTGATCAAACGAAGCCTGAGGAGACATGCCGTAGTGGTGGGGCTGACCATACATGCCCTTTCCGAACGATCCATAGCCGGCTGCTCCTTGGCCGTAACCTCCAAACTGATTCATGTAGTTGGCATAGTATGGGCTGCCATAGTAGGGGTGGTTGTATGGGTAACCAGCACCATGGCCATGCTGCGCGTGCTGGCCTTGTGCGCCATGTCCTTGACCGGCCATAGCTGCTGGGTTAGGGGTGTTGTGTCCGCTGTTCTGGGCGTCGCCATATCGGCTCTGAGACTGGTTTATTTCTTAGTATATTGTAGTCAATGGGCGAGGAGTTCTGGTTCAGCTGCTGTCCTTACTCGGTCCACCACCTTTGCTAGCTCCTCACATAACATGTCGTCTGTACGATGTGTTTCGAGGTGGATAGCATAATGGTCGGCCACGAATTTGACAAGCTCAGCATGAGTCCGAAGTATTTCACTTACCTGTGGAAGCTGACTCTGAGCATAGGCTGAGTCAGTAGGTCCAGAACCGAAAGCGCTGCCAGTACGCTGTTGCGCGGAACCAGCTTCTTGCTGGGTTTGTGCGATAGGCTGACCGTAGCTACCATAGTAGTTCTGGTATTGCGCACGTTGTTCAGCGGTGAGATATGAGGGGTAGTTGTCAGGGGCAGACGAGAAGGCACCGGGCTGGGATGGTGCTTGGCTTTGTTGAGCAGCGTAGTCGTAGCCAGGGGTCTGCGAGTTGTTTGATTGCGGGATCTGTTGGCCGAATGGGTCGTACGGCTTTTGAGGTGGGGCAGAGGCTTCCGACTGGATGCCTGGCTGACCATATCTGGCGAACTGGTTGTAGGGTTGATTTGATTGGGATCCCTGGTTCTGCATGGCCTGGGATGCAAGTGGGTTTGAGGGCGATTGGGGTAGAGTAGGCTGGTTTTGAGGAGCAGGGGGTAGTCCTGGGGCCTGCTTTGGTGTAGAAACGGACTCCTGCGGCTGAGTCTCTGCTTGGGGTGGCGCCTGGCGTGGAGCTGGGGGAAGAGAGGCTCTGGGCTGTGCAACAGGCGAATGCTGTGGTGGTTGAGTCCTAGTCTCCGCCTCTTCTCTGTCCTCATCAACATCTGGGTCGGATCCCTCACCCAAACCCATGCTACCAAACTGGACAGCCGCTCTGTCAACAGCATGGTTTCCAGGCATAACAACTGCCTCTTGTTGCTCAACCAGCCTCCTCTGGAAACTTGCGCTTCGGTGCGGGGTTCCCGAAGTCGCCTTCAATGCGGTCGTCTGGTATCCTCCAACAGCGGGACGGCCGATGGGTGCTTGGGTTGGCCCGTTCAAGGGGGTGGCAACAGCACTTCCAATATCCTTTGAGCTTGCAACAGTGCTGAAAGCTGTCTCCGTAGGGGGCGGGTGCGACTCGTCAGGAAGATGCTCAACATTCTCTTGTGTCAATTGATCCGCAGGCGGTGGCAGGGCGACTTCGGGAGTAGCCACTCCAGGGCTCTTGTCTGGCGTCTTCTTGGGCGTATCCTCAATGGTAGGTGGTGGCGTTTCAACAGGCTTCTCTACAACTGGGGGTATGGGTTGTTCTTCGGTCGGAACAACTGGATCAGTGGGAACGTCGTTCGCAGGCGTGGCTTCAGGTACTTGCGGAGGCGCTTCGGGAGCTGCAGCGGGAGCAGGCTTCGGGGCTGCTTTGGGTACCGCGGGTGCGGGTGCGGGCTTTGGTGCGGCAAACATACTCGCCCAAGTCTTCTTTGCAACTGTAATAGTAGCCTCGACAGCAGGCTTGATGACTTCTGGGGTACTCTCGGGCGCCTGCGCAGTCGTCTCGTCGTGTTTGCCCTCGTTGGGCTCTTCTCCAATAGCAGGCGTGTCCCATGCAGAGGACTCGTTCGTCGGGACTGATCCAGCAGCCGTACGAGGTCCAGCAGCGGCCCCACCACGGCCACCTCGAATGCCACCACGACCACGATCGGTGCCCCGACCTCCACGGCCTCCACGACCGCTGTCGACACCGCGGCGGGCGCCATCAGGTCGACCACGCAGACTGGAGGTTCCATCTACCGGAGCGACACCATCTTTCGCCTTTGAGCGGGACCTGTCCTTTACCTTCTTAGGGACTTCTGAGAATTGAGAGACGGAGCCTGTACAATGTCAGCAAACAATGAGCCCCTGGTTGTGCAGAGTGCTGTCCTGCGTGCGCAGTGCACGGGCGCAGGAGGGGCGCTCACCCTCACTAATCTTCTCAATGGTGGTTTGCAGGTCGCCATCAGATTCTTCGATTGCGAGCACTAGGTCGGCGTCGGTCCATTCAGGAAACAGTTCCTTGAGTGTGGGTAACTGTGAGTTGTAGCGCTTCTTAAGCTCTCCGAGCTCGCCTTGGTCTGCTGATGTGTCAATGGTTGAAGATGCGCTGTCGCCGTTTGTTTTCCTGGGCCCTCGAGAGCCGTATGATGCCCTGCCGCCGCGGGCAGAGCTCCTGCCTCGCGCAGGCCGAGATGGTGCTTCAGACATTGAATCTGTGTGGGGTGTGGACAAGCCGCTGGCGACTTTGGGTTGTGTGAATGTGTGGGCGGGTGTGGTGGACGTGCGTGGTGATGATGTAGAAGGAGGTAAAGTTGGGGAAAGCTAAAGGGCAAGCGACCACGTCGTCTTGGCACTGGAGGTTCCAATGGCGCAGGACGCGGCAGTGTCGCGTTGGCTGGGGTCTGAGTGGGCTGTGTGGTATGCAGAAGTGAGGGGAGTGTTCACAAGCGATTGATCTACGAATAGCTGGGGCGTATTACTCCAGCCTGCCGTCTTGCGCGCGCGTCTAGTCCGTCACGTGCCATACAGGGCGCCCGCTTGCCGCAGTCCCATGGCCGCTTGTGCCTGGCCCACCTCTCGTCATCGCCGCACCGCAACACGACGCACGATTCACGACAACTGACTGCGCCGCCATGCAGTCCGCCACCGGCAAACGCGTCCTGAGCACGCTTGCCTCCAAGATTCACCCCCAGCTGCCGCTGTCCCCGCGAGAGAGTCAGCAGCTACTGTCTCTGCTTACCCAGTCCTTCCGCGCCCACCTCGACCGCGAACACCCCTTCCCCCCCTCGGAGAGCACCCAGAGAGCGCCTTCCCGGCAACTGCTAATTAGTAGTGGGCAACGTGCCTCATCCCCGCACCATGCAGCCGCTTCTTCCTATGCCTCGACCACCCAGCATCTGGACTCGATCCTAAACAACCCACTGTTTGCAGTCAAGCCCCGCCGGAGAGGGTCGGGGTCTGCCGCCATCGATGTCCTGAGAGACCCTGTTGGGTGGTTTGTCAATGAGATAGCGTCTGGTTCTGCTACTCTGCAAAAGGCGGCCATTTGCCTCGAAGTGCTCGAGAAAACGACAAATGAAAGCCCAGCGGGGCTCAAGGATGGAGTCACACCAGCAAATGTGCTCTCAGAATGGCTGCGGACCAGTGGCTTGGACACATCGCGCGAGTTCTTGGATATGTGTATATCAAAGTCGGGCAATGGCAGTAGGTTCCTCGACAGGCTGGTGGCTTTACAGTTGGTCGAGGGCGAAACTTCTGCACCGTGGCGCTGGTTCATCCGATCGAATGAGCAGCGTGTCAAAGAAACCGGCCTGGACATCTCAAGAGTGACCAAGTTCAGACAACAGCTTCTGGAGAAGATGGTATCCATTGAGGCAAACACAAGCTTGAACAGCGGCCTGGCTACGTTTATGCAAGCTTTCCGCTTCACGGAGAATGCGGGCTACGAGTCAGCACACAGTGTGTTGAGGACCGCTGGGGGTCGTCTTGTCAACCGCATCATCTCCAGCCGGGACCAGTCCATCGACCTGGAATTGTATCAATCATTCTCATCATCATCGCAACGTTGGCTTGGAAGCTGGAGCCGAGCCGTCGAGGCTATGCTCTCCCTCCATCGACCTTCAGAAAGCAGTCCAATGCCAGGACTCAAATTCATCGAGGACCCCACTGGAGCCGTCACATTTGCACAGTCATCACGAAGCCGACGCAATTTCCTCGTCCAGCTATGCCTGGGTGTTGCCAGACAACTTTTGGAACAAGAGAAGTTTTCAGAAGCACAGGTAGTCATGGAATTCACCAAGATGCACTTTGCAGATCTTGTGCTACCAAAGCCAGCAACCCTGGCGCAACCAGCATCAGAGTCGTGGAGCGTGCGCAGGGAACAGCAGAACTTGGAATTGCTCGACCAGCTGATCCCTACTTGAAGGGGCATTGGAACGAAAGGAAGCGAAAACGAATAAAAAATCACTCATAGCTGTGGCTTTTGCAGGCCAAGATCAGCTCTTAGGCGTTCTTAGGGTTTTGGCAAATGTCAGATTGACAGGTCGCCGACGATGCGGGTCCAAAGGGTAGTGCACCGTAGTTTGACCGTGCGGGGAAAGCGACCGCCTTGAGGTTAAAACATGGTCATCACATCGTCATACTGTATTACGATCAACGTAGAATAGCGGAGAGGGAAGCGCGATTTATTAACAATTGCAATGAAGCAGTACAATGAATACAAAAATATAGTTCATATCGATTTACTCTATGAGCTGGTTATTCTACATTAGTCTGCAATAGACTTGGTCTTTTTCTTTCTTCCTCTTGGTATCGCTAAATAATAAAGACAACAAGAATTGAAGAAGAGAGAGAGGGAAAAGAAAAGCCCCTCATATGTCATCATGATGTTTGGTTCTGTTCGTAACACACCTCTGTTTTTTTTTACCCCACTTTCCCTTCTCTTTACTTCTTGAGCTCTCCACCATCGGTCTCCTCAGGCCAGACGTCGTAGCCAAAGGTATCCTTCATATTAACAAAGCGCGTGTGCCTGCCCCTTGCAACCTCCTCGACAGCGTCAAAGTCCTCTTTGCTGAGCTCGGGAATGTTCCAGTTGCTCTGGATGCGCGAGGGGGTGGAGCTCTTGGGCAGGACGACGTAGCCGCGCTGCAGACCCCAGGCCAGCAGGACCTGAGCTAGGTCGTAGCCGCTGCGCTGGGCAACCTCGTTGAGCTTGGCGTTTGTACGCACCTTCTCACCCGTGCTGGGGACTTGGTTCTGGGAGCCGAGGGGTGAGTAGGCCGAGACGAGGATGTCGTTGTCCTGGCAGAACTTGACGAGGTCTGAGTTGGGCAGGAAAGGGTGGATTTCGATTTGGTTCATCATGGGCTTGACCTTTGCGAAGCTGAGGAGCTTCTTGAGGCCGTCGATGGTCCAGTTGGAGACGCCGATGGATTTGGCCTTGCCGGACTCGTAGATCTCCTCCATGGCGTGCCATGTGGGCTCGGGGTTCTCTGTGAGGTCCTTCTTGATGATGTATTTGCCGTCGGCGCCGATCTTGGGCATGTGGTTGTCGTCGCTCTCGGCGGCAATGGGCCAGTGGACGAGGAAGGCGTCAATGTAGTCCATGCCCAGCTTGGTCAAGCTGCTGTTGAAGCTCCATTTGACTTGATCGGGCTCGTGGAGGTGGTTCCAGACTTTTGTGCAGATGAAGAGATCTTTGCGGGTGACGCTGGGGTTCTCCTTGAGGAAATCGCGCACGGCGGCGCCGACCTCCTCCTCGTTCTGGTAAAACCAGGCGCAGTCGAGGTGGCGGTAGCCCGTCTTGAGTGCGGTGGTTACGGCGGCGTACGTCTCGCCGGATGCGCCCTCACTGGCGAAGGTGCCGAAGCCCACGGCGGGGATGGTGACGCCGTTGTAGAGCTTGTAGGTCTTTTGGTTGGCAAGGGGAGCCATGGCTGCGGTATGCGGAGATGAATGTGAACAAGATTGAGAGGAGGTTTTGTCTCTAGGAATTGCACAGGAGGCAAAGGGGAAAACAAAAGGGTATGGATAGAATTGAGATTGGGATTTCTTCTAAACGACAGCAACAGCGCGTGGCAGGGCTGCAAGGCTACATATGTCTGTCCAGCCAGCGCATGTGTCGGGCTTGTTGAAATTTCTAACTTTCCCCCTCTCGTCACCCTTGGCTGGTGCTGCTGTCATCATGGCTCCATGTGTGCCACGCCTCGAGCAGTCAGCAAACCCCCAAGACCGGCGACAGGGCAGCACCGTGCCCGTACAACAACCCGGATGTGGCCGATCGCGGTGGTATTGTGGCAGCATCGGTCCCATTGCGAAAACTCGTCATGATAGTGCCATCCAACAGTTTCACAGGGGCCCTGAGGTGTTGTCAGTTGCTGGCTGCGATGACGTCGTATGTGGATCTCCAGGGTCCACTGCACGGGCCGGCCAGGGCGTGCGTGGGACGTGGCTGAGAGTGGCAGTTTTGCCGACCTTGACCAAGGCGATAGTAAGGAAAAAAAACTGCGTAGTCAGCACCGAGTACGGCCATGGGCGTGGGCCAATGCAATGCAAGCCGGTATGGATGTATGTACCTCTCTCTACGTAGCACCGTACAGAAACTCACTAGCCCCCTTCCAACGCCCTCGGCTGGTGCGGCTCTGCGCTCTCCAGCCACTCGCTTCGCTGCGTCCGCCCTAATTCGGCGAGGCGCGCTTTTGGCCCCACCCAACCTTCGTCACTGCGACATGATGCTCCCTGCACCATCCTCGTTCTGCTGCACTCGTCTCTACTCACATTCCCACATGTCGACTGATAGCATATGCACGCCAATCCGCTTTGACCGGCGGTAGCCATTTCCTCATCAATCACATCCTTCCGGCCGCGCTCATCTTTCCGCTTGCTTGAGGCTCTGCGCTAAGCTTTCGCGGCATAGGCGAGACGTATACAGCCATGCTTCCAGGTGTTGTGGCGACTCACATGTCGCGAACCCTATCAGTCCCCAGTTTTCGGCTTTATCCCGGCGGTGACGGTATCCAGTTCTCATTCTCTGGTCTGGCAAACTCGTCCCCTAGCGCTCTTCTGCACGGGCGTGCCTGAGCCATGATGATGTCGAACTGTGGGTACAGAGATACTTGTTGAATCCATTGAGTGCCATTCGGTGCTTGCTGTCTCGGCCTAACTCGGGATAGCGAAAAGCTGTCTTGAAACTTTCCACTCGATACTGGCAAATGACGAGAGCATATGGCAACCATCACCCAGCCGACCAAGACAGCTGAGATGATGATATATAGCCCCTCCCCCAGGACCCTGATGTCAACTATCCACCATCACATCTCTCCACACAACTTCACTCACTTTCACATCTTGTTTCTGTGAAGTTTACATCCACTACCTTTTCAACTTGATATACATATCCCCTTTACGTCATTATCAATATGTCTCCCTCAGCTTTTGACGACAAGGAGCTGGCTGAGACTCCTCTCACCCAGACCAAGTCCAACACCAACAATGCTCGCTCTGGCTCCCTTGCTGTTGGAAGCAGCGAGCTCCCCATCCCTGGAGATGCTCACGATGATGGCACTGCCAACGCCATCGAGGTCCCAGCTACCCGCAGCGCCATTGCTGACACCACCAACTACATGCACAACCTTTCACTCTCGCCTTCCATGAAGGAGAGGAGAGGATCCCGAAACTCCTTCGGTACCTCGCTGCCCATCCCCCGCTCAAAGAGGCAGTCAAGGTTGTCCTCTGTACACTACCCAGATGGCCACGGTGCTGCCAAGCGCCCTGGCATGCCCTCCATCCAGCCATCTCGTGATATTATCGCTGCTCAGCTTCAGGACTTGGCTGGCGAGAAGGTCCACGCTGCCAAGGACATGGCTTTCGTCTTCGACATCGATGGTGTCCTCGTCCACGGTGACCGTCTCATCCCCGAGGGTCAGCGCGTCCTCGAGATCTTGAACGGAGACAACCAGCTCGGCATCAAGATCCCACACATCTTCCTCACCAACGGTTCCGGTAAGCCTGAGCAGGCTCGTGTCGACCAACTCTCCAAGATCCTCCACAACCCCATCTCCACCGAGCAGTTCATCCAGTCGCACACTCCCATGCGTGCCTTGGCTGAGTACTACAAGACTGTTCTTGTTGTCGGTGGTGAGGGCTACAAGTGCCGTGAGGTCGCTGAGCAGTATGGCTTCGAAGACATTGTCGTCCCCAACGACATCGTTGCCTGGGACCCCACCATTGCCCCTTACCGTGTCTTCACCGAGGAGGAGCGCAAGACTTCCCGCCCCCGCGACTTCAGCAAGACCAACATCGAGGCTATCATGGTCTTCTCTGACAGCCGTGACTACGCCACCGATATCCAAATCATCATGGACCTCCTCCAGTCCGAGAACGGTCGTCTCGGCACCAGGGCCAAGGACCCCGTCTCCCAGCGCATCCCCATCTACTTCTCCCAGGGCGACATGCTCTGCCCCACCGAGCACCCCTTCCCCCGCATGTCCCAGGGTGCCTTCCGCATTGGTCTCGAGGCTATGTACAAGTCGCTCACCGGTGTTGAGCTCGAGCGTGTCGTCTACGGTAAGCCCGAGTTGGCTACCTACAAGTACGCCGATGAGGTCATTGCCAGCTGGATGGAGACCATTCACAACGAGGAGAAGCTTCCTTCTCACATCTACATGATTGGTGACAACCCAGCCTCCGACATCATCGGTGGTAACATGTACGGCTGGAACACTTGCTTGGTCCGCACTGGTGTCTTCCAGGGCGGCGACAATGACGAGAACAACCCAGCTTCCTTCGGTGTCTTCAACAATGTCCTTGAGGCTGTTCAGACTGCCATGAAGAAGGAGCTCGGCGAGGACTTCGAGTTCAAATTTGATGAGAAGATCAACCCTGTTATGCAGGAGGGTGGTGTCTCTGCTATTGCTTAGAGCTCCCTTCTTCTTCATCTTGCTTTCAGCATTCATATGACGAAAAGGCCTTTTCTTTTTGTTGCATTTCCACGGCGTTTTTTCCTTTTTTCCTTGGTTGCTCGATATATCCTTTGCATAGCGCGCATCGCTTGCATTATAGATTAACGAAACATTTCTTTCCTTGTTACTTGAATACACGAGAAAAGTGGTCATCTGGGCTCTTTTTTTGTTTCTTTCTTAGCTCTCATATGGATTTCATGAATTCTAAGAAAAGCTTCTTTTATTCGTACATTTGAATCTGCTCCTGTTGTTCTGACTTCACGTGACCATGCTATATTCACCTTTTGGCCGTACTTACTTAGCACTCTTCATCGTCATCAAACCCAACAAGCCCTCGCTTCAACCTCACAGTGCTAACTTCCCCATCAGCCTCCCACGTAGCCCTACATTCGTACCGCCCTTCCAACCTAACCCAAATATCCCATAGTAAATACCGTGCAAGCACCCTACTCTGATACAACGCAAACTTGGCCTCCCTCCCATTTTCCCCCTCATCCTCTTCATCTCCTTCTCCATCTCCGTTTTTCACCCCCGACCCCCTCATCCCGCGGAGTCCAGCATTCACACTACATTCCCGCTGCTCATCACCTGACATCTCGCCATCAGGCGTGAAAACATCCCACATCACCTCTCCCCGCACCACAGGCGTAGCACCGCACGCCGGCGCGGCAAACTCCTCGTACCACTGCCCCAGCGCATTAAACTTGCTTCGAACGTACAAGCTCCATTGGAGCGAGAAGCCAAGGTTACGGTAGGATCCTGCCTACTCCCCCCCTTGCCCACACCCGCAGTCAGTCAACCAGGAAGCCGGGAAAAGCGGAGTAGTAGTAGTATAGTGTAGTGTTACTTACGATTACGCAATTGCCATATCGACGGATTAACAAAGTAGTCCCGCCTTTTCGGCCTTGTACTTCACGCTTATATGTGAATTCCTGCACGGAAGGGTTGAGAAAGGCGGTTATGCAGGGGTTGTTTGTGTGGCTGAGGATTGTGGCGGTTGCGTCGCTGAGGCGCGGGTACGCGGTGCGGAGGAGGGGGGAGGGGGTCGTGAAGTAGGTGCAGAGGTCGATGACGTGCATGGTTCGGGGTGAGGGAGAGGAGGAGGAGGGGAAGATGCGGGAGTGCGGGAGGAAACAGGTATGCATTATGGAGTCGCAGAGGTCGCCGGGGGGAGAGGTGTAGTAGGCGTTTTGGAGTATGGAGAGTTTTTCGCGGAGGTCGAGTTCTTCTTTATTGGGGACTTTGGTCGGGGAGAGGGGGATGAGGGAGGTTATGGTGGAGGTGAGGCGTGATAAGGCACTACAGTCTTTTTGTGGACTCGATACACCGTTTTGTTGCCCGGGGTTCTTGAAGGACGCGACGAAGGTGTTGGCGATGCGGTAGGCGTCTACTTCGGCCCACTCTTCGTCAGAGGGGTCCCATATTGAACCGCCTGCGGATGGAGACGGGTTGTGTGGAGTCGCCAGTTTGGTGGCTGTGAGATGGCGAGTGGAGAATGATGCGGATGACCCAGAAAGTAATCGCTTGTGGATTGATTTGGAAGGTAGTAGGCGGTTTAAGGTAAGCCGTGGAAGATGCGGAGGTGCTAACAGTGTCTGATACTGAGACTGAAACGTGGTTGTTACTTGAAGCTGGGCACTAGGCGTCATAATCTCGAAGTGAAATCTGTTCGTATTTATGAGAGCCTGGAGTCTGTTTGTAGTTTGAGCAACTCACTCACTGTTCGTTTGTATGACAAACAAGTGCAATGTAGACCTCGCTGTGAACCTCCAGACGGATATGTTTACTACCGTAAATCAGGTTGTTATGATACTCAAGTAGAGGAAAACTTGGACAAGCTCATATAGTATTCCGTGATTAGCGGTATGGTGGTTTGTCTCCAGACATTTTGAAAAAACGACATAGAGTTATGTAGGACATGGACTTGGACTTTTGAAAACACTACGATCAAAATTGGTCTTGGAGAGCTTTTCAGGGCGTAGAGAATGTTGTTATTCGTACTAGGTCCCAAAAAATAGACTGTAGTTAAGTGAGATTGTGGTTGACATAGGTGCGCACAGGTTTAAAGAGCCAAGTATACCAACGCGTTGCGGACTTGAGTGTTCTACAAGGATGCTCATAACCTCTTTACTATCTTATAGCCCCGCGCCATTTTATGGTATATCCTTTGTGGTGACGAGCAAATAGAAGAAAATGGTAGTATGAAAGATGAAGGGGATGGATGTGAGGTCAAAGTTTCATAGAGGTTGAACTTAGTCTCAATTAGGAAGCAAGACTTCGGACTGTTAGAGAAGCCAAGGCATGGTGGTAATACATGAATCATTACATCTAGTGGCACCCCAGATTCCGCAGAACATCAAAATAGCAGAGTATAAACGCATCTCGTCGGACGTTGGGTATGCAAACGGAAAATGGGAAAGGCGTGCTGCGAGCGAAGGAGTAGTGTTGTGCGAGTGGATATAATCTGCTAGACAAGTAGCACTCTCAGCGTATAGCATATAGACCCTGAACATGATGATGGCATCGTCTAAACAGTATCAGATTCCCGGCATATCTTGAACTCTGATATTAAAATCAGAGACAGCCACAAAGCGTCACGACCTATCCAAGGCACTTGAGGAGTTGGTAGTTTTCGATTCATTCAGGAAAAGGCCAGACTCTTTGATATCAGTCGTGATCGCATCTCCCACATATCTGCCATATGCTTCCGTAGCCGCTGCAAGAACAACTACGCCATCATTTTGTCCATCCTCGTCAAGTCCGTATAGATGCCCATAGCTTTCGCAAAGAACTCCGGTAACCGAATGAAATGCCGCTTTCCCTCTCTTTCTTTCCCCGAGAGTTGATGCAGCTTATCGCAGACGCCTAGCCTCACGTTCGGACTCGAGCAGGCAGAGGATGTCGTTCTCACGGACTGAAGATTTTGGAGTCAGCTACTGCCAGAGGGAGGGCGGCGAAAAAAAAAAGCGGGTAGGAAGGGAGAGGGTTTACCTGGGCCCTTGACGTTACGGATGATAGAACGGGTCTGGTCGTCCATGAACTCGACACGGCACTGGGTGACACCACCACGGGAACCTGTAAGTGACCGTCGTCAGCCTTGAATTCTCTCTAATCTCTCGCACGTTTGTTGCGGCGCGTTATGTCGCATGCGTCCTCTTGTGCAGCAAATTTCGGCAAATTTCGCGTACCGGTTCGGCCAAGGACACGGGTGACCTTGACGAGCTTGACGGGAGCCTTAGCTGAATCCATTATGTGCGGTTGTGTGTGTTTTTGACGGGAGTCGGTCGGTCGGTGTGCGGAAGAGCTGGGTTGGGCGTCGGGATGGAGTTGTCGCTGGCTAGAGGCACTGAACGATCGTGGGCTGGCAAAATCTAAGCGAAGGCTAGAGCAACCGGGGTTGGCGCACGGCCCACTTGACTACTATTCGATGCAGGACCTCAATACCTTTACCTCAACACCCAATCACTCGTATGATGGGTTTGCACTTTTTCCTGATGGACAGAGAATGGCACGCAATTCATTATTCTATGTATAATTCATCAGCAGTTTCGAGGTTGTCATTACGGATATCGATTCCTGCACCCTCACAACTATGCCAAGACTAGTGGGAAAGAACACGCCAACACTTACTTACTCAATACATTCTTTATTGCTAGCTGCCACATTTACATTAACAAATCCAAAATCGATACTATTCAAATATGTCAAGATTCCGGAGTTTGCATCATACAATCAAATCCATTCTAGGCCGGCATAATATCGCCCAAGTCGTCCACTTAGCAAGCCCATGCCTATTTAATCATATATTCATTTCATTAGTTCTTACTACATACAACTCGTTAAATATTAGCTCAGTCCCACTCTCAGTCCGTACCAGTACCCTCCTTCCAGTAAGTACCAAGCCACTCATACGGCTCCTCCGGCACATACTGATTCAAAATCTCCCCCTCAAACTCCGTAACATGGTCGCGCGTCAAATTATACAGCGCATATTTCTCATCGGGCCCAGTTCCAACCGTATAAGGAACTGTTTGGACATTGTTGCCAATCTCCTTGTCGACGTACCGGTCGACATCTGTGACTTGGGAATCTTTGATGCGGTATTCGTCGCCGTAGTTGGGGTTGATCTACGTCATTGTGAGTTGGAATTATCGATAAATGGGGAGTTGGGTTGTTTGAACTTACTATACCCATTCTTGTGCCTTTTACGGCAATGACGTTTTGGATGGTGACGTTGCGCTTCGCCTGGTTGAGGCAGTTTCCGCAGGATTGATAGAAAGTACCAAAGTTTTCGGCGTAGAAGCCTGTGATGTTGACTTTGCCTCCTAGCGAGTTGTCCTGGAAGATCTTGTCGGTGGCGTTGCGTGCGCCTCCGCCGATGACGCGGAGTTGGGTGTTTAGGCCCTTAGATGTAAGTGCGTCCTCACATACATCCTCCCACCACACTATTGTATAGCAAGTCAGTGGTTGGTTGATGCTTGATCGAATGGAATGTCTTACCATTCTCCACCCAGGCATCTCCGAGAGCATGGATACCTTCACTCTGGTGTTTACCAATAATCACGTTCCGGATTGTAGCACCAGGAAGTAAGTTGAAGACAGCATCCGCGTCGGTTCCCTCAGCCTGCTCACTGCAGCTACCCTCAACACGCTCGTATCGCTTCATTTGTCCATCGAAGACCTGGCCAGCAGCAATGTACATGGCCTCTTTAAGCACAACAGTCTCAGTCGGAACGGGGAACTTTGTGACCGGAAAAGGGAATCTGGGGGGAGGTCGTGCTCCAAGATCACCCTGTGTCGAGTCTGTGCTACCCTGTGGTCCATCGCCATTCTGGCGCGGTATCACTGCTGCTGTGGAGAGTGCAGGTAGAAGGGGGAGAATGACCGAGGTAGAGAACTTCATCTTGGAAAGACTATATCTGAAGTGGAATATCAACCAGACTTTTTGAGACCGCTGTCTTGGCTTCAAGTAGAGTTTCAGCAGTGCGAGAAAAAAAATATATTTCATAATTGACACAGCACAATCAACCCTTTATACTTGATCAGCCACGCCAATATGCCCAGCAAGTAGTCCCTCGATCATCACCATCACACCCGCCTCTCCACACGCAACCCCGTATTCCAACGTCATCCCAAACCCTTTTAGGTATACTATGTAGGCGCAAGCAGGCTCTAGCTTCCCCCACAACTTGCTCCCCAGAGCGCCACAAACTGCACTCCTCAGGCCAACCGGAAGAACTTGGGTCCCATGTCTCTTTGTTTCCGTGAATAAAAGGTGCTGGCGTAGTGTTAGTGAGGGTACTTGGCATGCGGTTTACCCGAGCAGAGCAGTGTCGCCTAAGGCCATGAGATGCATTTGCCAAGGCGATGCCACGCAGTAGTACACCCGGTGGTGATTTTCTCCACGAATCATACAGGTACTTGGCGGCGTTGTTTCCCCAGCCTCTAGGTATCTGTGCTCCCCGTACATTCTGGATCATCATTTCCGGGGTAAGTAGTGGATTTGCGATCGAGGGGTTGATCATTGCTGTGCGTTGCAGTTGTGTTCTGGGTTGGAGGGTTCATGTAAGCATGGTTGGAATCCCGAAACTCGAATACTAGCTAGGGGAAAATCATGTTATATGAGACGAAGATGGAGTGATGTGTAAATAACTAGATGTAAACGGCCCGTGGTCTTGGACCCTGAATCATACCGCCTTGGTACCATATGGCAAATATTCGGCCAACATACATATACATATTGCAACAGACCATAATGCACTCTTATTCCCACTGGTCAGCCATCTCCTTCACGGCCTTCTCCAAGCTATCCCACCCGGATCCTTTGACTCGTTTGAGCAACTCTTCTGCCCTCTGATTCGGGACCTTCATCTTGTCTTCGCCCAATCCCTTGATGTTTTCCGGGAACTCCTTCTTGGGATACTGCTTGCGCCAAATATCCATCATCTTATTGTAGCTCCATGGCTCTGCAAAGGCAAATATGCGTTCGGAGTGTACGTCGTTGTAAATCAATGCAGCGACATGCAGCAGCGCGCAGTCAACGGTATGAACATACCATTGTGGGCCGGCAAACGTGCTGAATGCTTCGAGGTTCGTACTCGTCCAAGCGAAGTGGGCCCACTCGATAGTAGATGGTTTGCCTTGGCGTTCAGGGATGAGAATGGGGCCGAAGTTCACATTTGGTAGCTGTTACAGTCAGTATTGTATATAAAAAGATTTATGGGATCGAGACTTGCAATAGAGTTCAAGATAAAGCTTGGTTTGTTCTCTTCCATCCACTTGACTATTGCCATTTCCGTCTCTGTCTTCATGGCTGCATAGCCCAGCAATCCTGATCCATTCCCAGTCTCTTTAACACGTCTTAGTGCCTCTTCGTTGAAGGTACCCTCGTCGATTGAGAACTCAACATCGGGTTGAGGGAAGGTCGCGGCGATCGATGACGAGGTAAAGACGAAGCGTTTAACCGAAGGAGTTTTCGTGGAAGCCTTGAGGGCATTGAGAGCGCCTTTTACCGCGATGGGAATGGCAACTTTGATATCTGAACTCTCACTAATAGGTGCTGCGACATGGATGAAGCCATCAATACCTGATGGTTGAGTAAATTTAGCTGTCTTTGCCACATTAGGTGTGGTATAACTTCGAAGTACCTTGCATGAAATTGTCATAGCAACCTTCGATGGTCATATCTGGTACGTTAACCAGCTCTAGCTTTGCATCTTTGTGCTTTTTACTAAAATAATCGACCAAGTATTGGTGCTTCTCAGCATTCCTCACTGCGCCACGAACATTGTATCCCCTCTGTAGCAGTTGATCGGTGATATGACTTCCAATAAGACCATTGACGCCTGTCACAAAGACCGTAGTCCCAGCTTCAAGTGCAAGAGTAGGCATAGTGGGGCAAGAGCTTTCAAGTGTGATAAGGGGGTGGGGTCCACAAGGTATGCAGAAAAGGAGTATGGACAGAAGTGAGCAATGATTTTTCGACAAGAAAGCTTGGATTCTATTGCCAAAGCAGAGACGAGTTTATCGGATGCGATGCCTGAAACCAAATGCTTGCAAGATGAGAGATTAAATACGTTTGTGGAGAGCATCAAGGTCACCAAACACTAACTGTGTTAGGAAAGGCGTGTTCGCCTGCATGCTGAAGGATGGCTTGCTTACGGATAGGATTCAGCATCACACCTCGGTTTTGCCCTATCAGCGAGCATTGCCGCTAATGTTTTCTTGGATTGAATCTAACGAGCGGTAGTCCAGTTTGGAACTCTTATGACGTAGAGCATGTGGCTTCGAATGAAAATGAACTATGTTCTGGTTGGAAGAGAAGTCATGATAAGTGAAATGTAGCAATTTACCATAAAAAGAGCTTGTGCTACAATACCCATGGTCAATTGACGTGTTCCTATTGGTTTGTTCAATATGGCATAGCCTTGTGAGCGGATAACATCACCTGCCGGTTCTGACGTTTTGACATGATCGGCAAGGGACATGATTTGTAATTAAAATATGGAGGCAAAGGATGGAGAGAGATTCACTTTGTTTATTCTGTCTAATTCCAGGTCAATCCTCGCACTGTCATCTGAATGTGTGAGGGATGCAGGGCTTTGCTTAGTCTGACGATGTATTCCAGGCGCCCCGAAACAGGATGTAACGAATTGGTCAGCCACAGTCTTGAGTACACCTCGGTCAAGTGTGCGGAGTAAACGCAAAGTCGTATAGGCTGTGAATTTTCATAAGAGCAGTAAACCCTATTTTTCCCGAGAGAAACTGCTTCGGTGGGAGTTTGAGTACTGAGGCGCTCCACAAGTGTTGACTTGAACTTGCTAAAGAAACACAGTAATCCTTCATTCCCTTCTTTCGAACAACTTAGGTATTGCATTGGGATGTAACCATGAATGAATGCTTCGGACAGAGCATGCCATGCGTGTATAATATTAATATTTTTCTTAAATCAAAGACAAATTGCGCACGCAGCTTTTTTCATGTAATTTTACATCATGGCGATAATCATATTTACAGCTTTCCTCTGCTCTTCTCCATCTCCTCCTGTAGCACCAATCCAACAGGTCCACCACGGCTTCCATCACCTGGCCACTGCTCCTCAGGAATGCGCTCAGTGGGCCAATCCCAAAGTCCCTTGAAGTCCTCGGGTGTTCGACCTTGCAAACACTCTACAATGCTGTCACCAATGACGGGCAGGAACTTGAAGCCATGGCCTGAACCACCGGTGGCGACAAACAGACCGCTATACTTGGGGTGATACGATATCAAGAAGTCGCCGTTTCTTGTATCCGTGTACCAGCATATCTTCGATTTGGTAAACGGCCGTGAGGGCGTAGCAATCGAGGGGTGAATTGCTTTGAGGAAGTCGCGACATTGGCGTTGTCCTTCTACCGGAACAGCTTGTGTCGGGTCGTCGACACCTGTGTAGGGCAAAGATACTGTGATTGTCTCATTCGGATCGTCCGACTCGGGATGCGGAATGGTCGTCGGATTAATGTAGCCATGACCGTGGCGCGCCACCTTGAGCAACCTCTTAGAGGGTGGAATCATGAAAAGTCCATGTGAGAGATTCAAGAGAGTTGGCCTGTTGGCCATTTTCTCTTCCTCTTCTTTAGATATTGGCATATAGCATATGGCCTGTCCGGTCGCTTTGCAGATGCCTCGTAGATCTATGAGCGATGCTGTCCATGCGCCCGCTGCTAGTATTGTCAAGTCGGCCTTCAGCTCACTTGAATCGTTGAACCGAACGCCAGACACGGTGCTGGTCTTATGGTCGATTAATAATTTCTTCACCGGTTTGGTGACGAACTTGACTCTGTTCAAACTCTCGACCTTTTCCCGCAACCAAATCATGGCACCCTCAGCATCAGCCCAGCCAGAACTCCAGTTGACATATCCTGTAGATCCATTGCCCCATGGAGCATTGCCCTCAAGACCACATGCTCTTTGGATTTCTTCAGCAGAGTTGAGAACCTCGACCGTGTCTGTTCCTATTGCCCGGACGTTTGCCAACGAATCTGGCACGTACTTTTGTTCCGGCCCCCAGGCAGTTACACACAGTCCGACTTCATGGTAGTGTTCCGTCGCAAAGTCGGTTCGCCAGCGGTTCTGCGCGATAGTTGCTAGGCGGGTGTAGCGCGCGGCGGCATAGTCGGGGCGTATGATGCGCGAGGTATCAATCTAATTTTGCTTGTCTGAGCGTGTTGTCTTTATGGTAATGGCCTGATGCGACGACCGAAAAAGGTTGTTTGGTAGAGTGCATGGGTGCCATGTTGAATCGCTGTACTTACGCTTGAGCCGTCGGGTACAGGAAAGGGCTGTCGGTCGACAACAGTGATTGAAGTATCTTTGTACTGTGGGTTTTGGCATAGAGAGTAAGCAGTTGAAAGGCCAAATGCGCCACTTCCGACGATTAAAATGGATGAAGGTATATCGGAGACTGTGGAGGGAGCCATTGCGCACAACTATCTGCAAAACAAAAAACAAAAAAAAGCACGAAGCAGAGAAGTACAAGGAGATATTAGACTCACAGACTTGAAAAATCCCGACCAACAGCCGCTGGAAGGCCGATATCGTCGACTGATTAACGGCAGGTATCGGTTATGTATGGGCCGACCCTCATGGCTTGCAGGGCGCTTTGACGCTAGACTACTCCCGACCGATTGGATCGCGCGTCAAAAGATTTGAGGCTCCAAGCCAACATTTGCTGGCCTGAGCAATTGAAAACCAACCACACTCGCCACGCACTCGATCGTTAGACATTGGCGCGCCATGGCGAAACTGCCTAAGCCTCCCAAGTCGTTTCCTATAAAATCCACCATACCGACGAAGCCTGCCGCAGCACTGCCCAGGCGAATTCCCCGAACGCAGCCGACGGCTGAGCATCTGCTACGAGTACCCGAGAACCAGACACCCGAACAAGCAGCGAAGAGAGTATGGGCGGCACGACCAAGGCTATCTGATCTCCAGCGGCTGTCGGATGAAGAGTTGAGGTCGGCACAGCACCAGGCCAAGCTACGACAATGGAGACAATGGCCCATGTTCGGCATTGGCCTGATCGCATTCGGAATGGGCACATACGCAACAATGCTCTGGACATCGCTGACTCATGAGGCCGAATCGAAAGACCTACCGGCGGATCTTTCTGATCGGTTTGACAAGGAGGCTGAGGGATACGACGAGAAAGTGGATACATCGGAGATGCTACTCTTCCTAACTCGGAAGCGCAAGAAGCTCACGGCCATGGCAAAGGGACACGTGTTGGAGGTGGCCGTGGGTACAGGCAGGAACATACCCTATTACAAGACGAAGCAATGCGCAACGGTAACGCTGCTGGACTCGAGTGGGCCTATGCTAGAGGTTGCGAGGCGGAAATGGAACGACACGCACAAGGAGTACTTTAGCCGCGTCTTTTTTAAGCATCAGTCAGCCATTGATCCAATAACGCCTCCGTACGGCGCACAAGATGGATACGACACGGTTTTGCAGACGATGGGGTTATGTTCGACGCCGGAGCCCGTCAAGCTACTGCAGAATCTAGAAGCGTCGACTAATGAGGATGGGCAGATACTGCTTCTGGAGCATGGAAAGTCGCATTACGAGTGGCTCAACAAGATGCTAGATAAGACGGCCCCCGCACATGCCGATGAGCATGGTTGCTGGTGGAACAAGGACATTGGCAAGATTGTCGAGGAGAGCGGGTTGGAGGTTGTCGAGATGAAGCGCTACAACTTTGGCACGACGTGGTGGCTCCAATTGAAGCCGAGAAAAGGCATACGGCAGAAGCGGACTACGGCAGGTTCAGGTGAGCAGCCGGGGACTGCGCAGACCGGGCCGGCAGTTGTTGAACACAAGCCATGGTGGTGGTTGTGGAGTTGAATACATAGCCGTCCGTCTCGTCATCCCCACCCCGCATGGTCGAGAGTGGAGACCTGGGACTACTATCAGAGACCTGGCATGCAATGCTCAGTCTGGACTACTCTACGGCTACGTACAGCTACGCATACGTAGCCGCAGGGGCGCTGGGTCGGGCAGGCCAGACAGCTTTTGTTTTTGCCCAAGGTGACGCAAGGCTTGGGCATGGCTGAGATGAAGGAGGGGCAGGGCCTGATGCGGTAATTCCAGGATGGCGACCGAGAATCGTCACTTGGGGGGACCCAACAGCAGGTGAAGCGAGATCTGCGGTTGGGATCATGGGCAATGCACAAACGATCGCGTCACCGTCACTACTTTGCAAGCGCACGGCGGCTCATCCAAACTTTGATATGTTTTACCATCAAGTCACGCCATGTGCTTTCGCGTGCTTGAGGCATGGGCGGGAGGCCCGTTGGGGGGGGGGCAGGCAGGGCCAGGAGATGAAGATGCGTAATCGAGCACGCAACAGCCGTCTGACTCGACGTGTTGGCTTGTGGAAAGAAGCAAACAGACATGCGTCTTCACCGTCTTTCACGACTTGCCAACTGCCTTATCCAGCCCGCACTTCGTCTGGGGAAGAAAGATAGTGCATCCGCAAAACTGAGTGCCCGCAGCCCAAGTGCGGCGCCAAACCTTCCAGTTCCCCACAAAAGGTGACGCTGAGCTGCGCATGCAGGCCAGACTTGGCGGCATGCGCCTAGCCGGATGGGGCAAGGATTTCTGCATAGCCCATGTCGCATCATCCGAAGTCATGGCAACTCGCGTGCGCAATGTTTGGGGCACTGTGACAATGTGCCCCCCCCCCCCTCCTCCTCGGTGTGCGGGCATTGCGTGCGACAGAGGCGCCACGATGCCCATTGCGGGAGTCAGGCACGCAGACGCGGGACATTGGCAGCTCGTACGAGACCACGGCGGAGGTAGTCTGGTCGTGGCTAGCAGCAACGCTTCTCCGTGCCGGCAGCGCCTCTCCGTTCACATGTGGACGTTGCCGAGGACTGGCCGCATGGCCACAGCGAAAAGTTCCGTCAAAGAAAAATTCGCGAAAAAAGTGCGCTCACCGCCCTGGGGCATCCCGGCTCCATCGTTGAGGCTAAATCCACTTTTGCAGCTAGACGAAACCTCTGGACAGGGATGCTCGCACGCTGGAACTGGATGATATGCACGCAGCATCAGATCATGGAAAAGCGTCCAACCAGCCGCGACGTGGCCGTTGGAAGGGCTGGAGAAGCGCATCAATTGAGGCGGTCAGCTGGCGGGACAGCTGTGACGACCCGCCCGTGTGCAGGCAGAGACAGAGAGGGATGCCAATGCCCATGCCAATGCGGATCAAGGACGTCAACCACGGCGAGACTGACACCCGTCGCGGAGGTTTATCGGCTACGACGCATTCCCACAAGCATGGTTTAGCAAGGCCCACTTATCTCGTGCCCGGCGCGAGATGTTAACAGATCCAAGCTTGACACAACAAGAGGGGCAAGCCGTCAATGGCAACCGTGGGATTGGCCGAGCCCACGCCTTGTGCACAAGGCGTGAGAGCGGGCAGCCGGTGAAGCAAGGCCTGGAGGGGCGACTACTCTTGGTTTTGCCTGGCTACTTACTTGGAGACAATGTACAGAGTACGTTGCCGCGTGGTACATGCGGGCGGCCACGGCATCTTGATAGGAGCGTAACGCTCTAGCCCCTGGCCAACAAAGCAAAAACGGGCTCTAAAAGTAGTATGCTGTCATAACCAGCCTGAGCATTACTGGACTGGGTACATTCACCCTACCAGCAGCGCACGGTCGCCTGCCGGAGCCTAGTCGCTCCTTCTTCACCCAGTTGCTCCACCACCACGCCTCCGACCTTTCCCTCGCTCGCAACATCCCCCTCTTCCCACCACCCCTCGAACTCCATCAGGGACCATTGTCCATTGTGCTACCCGCGTCTCGCCCCTTGCCTCTTTCTCTAGTTCTTTGCTTGCTGTGCTGTTGCGGCGACACTTTGCTGTGCTTGTTGCAACCTCTCGTTGCCCTCTTCCTACTCTAGAGGCAATCCCATTTGCCATCGCTGCCTTGCCTATTTGCTGCCTTCAGGAGGCAAAGTTGCGTAGCTGCGACGACACGAGTGCCACTCTCAGCATTCACCCATTACCACCACCTCCACTACCACCACCAAACCCAACGACGACCATCCCTCCTCCTCCTGCTCCTGCCCACAGTAATCAGGTGCCCTCCTCGACGCCATCCCTGCAGTGCAGAAAGAAAGTTGCATATTTCGGCGGCAGCGCTTGGTGGCATAGGCTGTAGTGCATTCCTACGGACCAATCCACATCCCTGAGTCTCCTCGCAGTCACCAAACACTTGTGGCTGCACACCCATTACCAGCCTTAATAATATATCTTTCTCCCTGCAAAGGCTGCCCTTTGTCCTCTTCTCTTCTCTTACCGCTTGCGCAACTGTTGCGACCGAGTCGCTGCGACAAGATGCCCTACAACACCCGCCGCAAGTCCCTGTCGCTGCCGTCGCTCGGCATCCAGCTCCCAGGTGCGCCCCGAACGGTGCGCTCACCGCCTTCGACAAGCGACGGCCAACACGCCGCAAAGAAACAGAAACGCTCACATTCGGGCTCCCTCTCGTCCTCGCTTGCATCACCACCACGTCCATCGGCGCTGCGTATCGACGAGCACCGACCCAAAAGCTCAGGCCGCGTCGCCGACACCCCGCCACCGTCACCAGGCGGCGAGTCCGGCACCGCCAAGATCGACACCCAAGGTATTGATGACGAGATTGTTGTCGGTGTTATTGAGCAGCTCGAAAAGACTGGCAACCGTCCCCATTTACTCAAGGAGCTTGCCCTTGTTCTGTCGCCCATCATCCCCATTGTCGAGAGGTACGTACCCAACCTTGGCGCGTGTTCATAATTACTTATGCTGATGTGCGCTAGCTCTGCCAACCCAGCAGCCATCATCTCGTCACGTTTAGCCACATACCTCAAGCGCAACTGGACCGCGTTATCGAGATGTCCCCTCGACAAGAAGCTTGTTGGCACGCACCCAAAGCGTGTCTACTACTTTCTTTCCACACGCCCACACCAACCGATTCCTGCTGACGGGGGTAATGCCCCAATCGCACCGCGCATTGTGACGCCGTCACTTTCGTCTGCTACATCGGAAGAAGAAGAGGACATGGACGCAAGATCACGAGATCGCATGTCGCCCTCTCCAGAACTCGACCTCTCCGACTACGACAGCAACGCCAGCGACCCCTTCTCCAACCAAACCCATCCTCCTACAACCGCCAACATTTCACACAACCGCCGCGCTCAATCTCCTCCGTTAGAAAAGGACGAGCGCGAGTTCACCCAGACTGCGTCGTTCCTTCAACAACGACGGATGAGCCAAGAAGCGGAGCGTGCACGATCTGCCAGCGCATCTGCCGAGCCGACACAAAGCAGCGATGTGAAGATGGAAGAAATCGCCGCCTCGGTTGAGGAGACGGTTGAAAGCGCCGCCCGCAAAGACTCCGAAGCGGCGGCCACTCTTTTTGGTCAAATGGATCAGGTTGTGAGCTACAATTCTGCACTCTCACCCAGCAGCCCTGCACTCAGGCCTACGCTCCACATCGACATGCCACCGCCATCGCTCAAGCGCAAAGAGATAAAACTCGAGTTTGACGACGACTGGGTCATGAAGAGCCCGGAGCTTATTGATCTGGACGAGCTTGACGATCTTTTTGGTGGTTACTAAATCATCAGCAGCCGAATCTGCGCTTTTCCAGCACACGATGTTTACGATTCTCCTGGGGACAAGCTCTCTCATCTACTTCGACTATATTCATTGTATTCTCACCTCATTATCGTCTTTTCTTTTATGCTCTTTTACAGCGTATGTCCTAGAAGGATTCGTTTTGCCGTTCGCGCTGCATTCATTATGCACTCTAGGGATGTTGGGATATCGCATGGAGTTCTTGAGATGTGGGAGTCTAGGAAGGAATTCTGTACGATAAGTGTAGAGTGTGTTTGTTGCGACGGGCGCGGAGGCGCCTGGCTGATGCGCTGGATTGTTACTTGGCGTGGGAATTTGTGGAGCAAAGGGGTGCGGGCAAACATGTGGCACTGTTGCCACCCGCCCCGCGCGACGAGCAAATGGGTGGAAATGGAAGGGAACAGGACCGCTATATAAAAGCTCTTGAAATTGGAAAAACAGTTAATATGCTTCAACATTTGCAACTCTTGCCAGCGCGGCGGTCACGGTGTTTTTGCTTATTTGCTTGTGACTGTATGTACGCATGTACTTGCGGGATTGTTGCCGCCAAAGCTTGGGGGGCCGGGCTCCCTTACTATCCACGTACCGCTTGCTCACCGCCCGACTTGTATGATTTCTGCACCTAAGACTACAGTACACCTGGCATTGGTCTAATGCAGAACAGAGTGGAAAAATTGGGCCCTCACCGGCAGGTCTACTTGTGCCCAATGCGTGCCTCGATCTGACCCAGACGGTCCTAGTCTCAGAGGGGGAGGGAGCTTATGATTGGCAACGTCTGATGGACAAGTTGCGGTCGAGGGCGATGTGCTGGAGACCGCCTCACTTTCCACCAACAGTACACTACACCGAGGAGTGAACGCTGTACAAGCAAATTCTCTGCATACCCGTCGACGGTTTTTCTGAAAAGCTCAGGACAATTCTCCATCTTGTGCAATCGCCTGTTCGCAGAAAAAGAGGCTGGGTAAGCGAGTCCAATGACTTGGGCACCCCAGCCTACAGCAAAGCTTTGAAGCCCAGCCCAACCTCACCGAGGAAACAACAGTGCGCTGTGCGCGCCGCGACACGTCCGCTCTACCATCTTTTTTTCCCTTATCGACTCCCCGAGTCCCTTCAATCCGCGCCTCCTCTGTGCCCTGCGTCAAAAGTGCTTGTTGCGGGCTCCTAGGGCTGCTGAGGTTCCGGATTGTCTCGCTTACCTTGCGCCGGACCAGTCTTCGCACTTGGTGACGGAAACAACTGGCCTGAGCATTCACCACACAGCCCTCCGGTCGCATCGTTCAAGGTTAGCTGGGTAAAGGTGAAACACATTTCTTCATAGACTCTTCACGTGGCATACGCGAATTGGACCCTGGATACCGACAACCACACTGCTGCTGCTGTCCCGCAGAAAGCCAACACAGCACCCTCGATCATCGACGCCCGGCCATACAAAACCACGATCAGCCGCGTTGCCTGTCAGCAAATCACGCCGCGGTCGCAAGAGACTTGGCCATATTAACATAGTCGCCTCTCCTTGGACCAGGCCTTTATCTAATCTTCCCCGACAACAACTACCTTTTTTAAAAAAAATCACATTTACAGAGGACTCGCAACCAAAGGAACAAAATGTCGGTAGCCATGTCGCGAGCCAGAAGCAGAAGTCGGGCGCCAAGCACCAGAGCACCCCTGAACTCATCACCAATTGTCGTGGATATCCCACGAAGCGGCGCAAAATCGCCACTCATTGTCGATGTGCCCGCCACCCCGAGGACAAGAAGTAGGAGCAGAGGCAGAGTTGAGCCGGCCGTGGATGCGCCGGGATTGAGTGGCGGCAGAGGAATGTTCAAGAGGCTGATTGTTGCTTGTGACGGCACTTGGCTAAATTCGGACGACGGAACCAAGAATGGTACCCTTTCCATCCCCAGCAACATCACCCGGATCTCAAGAGCTATCAAAGCAGTCAGCCAAGACGGAATCCAGCAAATCGTAAATTACCAACAAGGTCTCGGCACCGAAGGTGGAAAGATTTCTCGTCTTGTTGGAGGCGGTACAGGCAAAGGCCTTGCTGAAGATGTTCGGGAAGCGTACTCGTTTCTTGCAAACAACTATCATCCAGGAGACGAAATTTTCCTACTCGGATTTTCCAGAGGTGCCTTCACTGCGCGCAGTATTGGTGGATTGATTGGAGAAATCGGTCTTCTCACCAAAAAAGGCTTGAATACTTTGCCAGAAGTATACGAAGACGTCCAAAACCGAAGGAACGAGGACTACCGGCCAAAACACGAGGACATTCCATTTCCAAGGAAACCAAGCGCCGGGGATCCACGATATGCGGAAGAGTTGGAGCGCCGTGGCTTGACCAGACTCGACATTCCGATCAAATGCATTGCCGTGTGGGACACAGTCGGAAGCCTTGGAATACCCAGGATTGGCATACTACAGCGTGCAGGTCTGCAGTCGAAGCAATCAAAAGCAACAACATTCTACGACACGAAACTTTCCAACTGTGTGGAAAATGCATTCCAGGCTCTTGCTCTGGACGAGACTCGATCATCATTTGCACCTGCTATCTGGGAAAAGCCCGAAGGTAACCGCACCACGCTCCGCCAGGTGTGGTTTCCAGGTGCGCACGCAAATGTAGGAGGCGGTTATGACGATATGCAGATTGCCAACATTAGTCTTGCGTGGATGATGAGCCAGCTGGAGCCATTTTTGGATATGCGAGGTGAATATTTGTTCGAGCAGGACGATCTCAATGAAAAGTACTACAAGAAAGAAGAGGGCGCCATCCGACCATGGAGTTTTGGCAAAATCTACAGCGAGCTTAAAGGGGCTTTTGCACTGGGTGGAAGTTCTGTAGGTTTTTTTCCTCGTTTTGTTGTTTTGTGAAGTTTGGGCTGATATATGTGGAAGCAACGCAAACCTGGTCAATACACTGCAGTCGATCCATATACGGGTCGGGCGACAGACCGACCTCTGCGACAGACGAATGAGTACATCCATCCCTCGGTCCGCACGCGGTTCCGCCTAGAAGGCCCTGGAGTGCAGGACCGAGGCTTGTACGAAGCGCGGGCACTGACAGACAGCTACAAGTTGGTGGTTGACTACGGCTCGAACAACGCGCGTGCAGGCGACGCCGAAGTTTTCTGGAAGATCAAGTGGAGAGACGCAAACGCGGTCAAAGTGCTGCCCGAAGCACCACTGTGGAGGCTAGAGAGGGAGCTCGCACGACGGGATCCGGCAACGTACGACTATGTGAAGAAGCCACCGGCGACGAGCTCGACCAAGAGCAAGCGACGAGCGCCACGGCCAATGTCAGCTGATTTTTCAAACTCCAAAGTAGGTGGATTGGGCAGCCCTGTCTCGCCCCGAAAGAGTCGTAGAGAAACCTTCTCACCAAGATCCACGTTTCCAGTTGACGACAAGCCCCCAGCGCGGAGGAGCAGTACGAACATGGACCGAGCGAGGAGTCGCAGCCGCGCGAGGAGTGTTGAATTTGCCAGCGATCGCGAAACGGATATCCGAGAAAGTATGCCACATCGTCGGGAGAAGGACAAGGCGTGGTGGGAAGGCAAACGATGAGAAAATGTTTGAGAAGAAACGAAATGACACTATAGCCGACTTCTTTTGAGAGAGAGAAGAAAAAAAATTACTTTTGAGTAGATGGTAGGGGGGGTTGGGATATAAGCGGATACCCTTTATTTTAGTTTTTAGTTTTCTTTTAGATAATGACAATCTTTTTAAAGGTTTAGGACGTAGTATGTAGTATACAAATTATTCGAGGTTAACGTATTATTTATATGGATTTTCGCGGATCACTCCTTCTTTTTTTGTTTGGCCAAGACGCCTACGAAAATGCATACTCCATTCTCAATCTCACTTCGAATGATAATGTGTAGACCTGTTACAAGTGAAGAAAAAGAAAAAGAAAGATTTCTCTCTCTTTCTCCTTAAAGATAGGATGAGAGGCTGGAAAAACTAAATTGGCGTTCCTCTCAATCAGTTTTTTTTTAAAAAAAAAACTGGGGCAAACGGGGCCTCATAGTTAAGTAACTGTTCGGAGCTACGTACTAGTACTAGGCAATCTTATCCTCCGACTCCACCTACTACTACTTTGAATAGACCGAGAGGAACCCTCCCCCCCGTCCCCAAAAATAGGCCCACCACAATATTATCCTAACCCCCCCCCATCTCCCAGAAAAAAAAAGACTGGAATAAATAAACACGCTAGCTCTGGTGCATGAATAGATTCCAATCGCTGATCTCGCGGTGTCGCTCGAGTTCTATACGCTCTTCTCGTCCTGATACATCTTGATGACTTTGCATTAGCTGTTTTGCTTTCGGTCGAAGGTCATAGGATGCATCTCTTATGTTCCTTTTTTCTGGTTATGGGGGGGGAGGAAAGGTAGTGTAGCTTTGCCCGACCCCAACCCCAACCCCCGGACTGAGGCTTGTAGAGAAGGTGTAGGGTATGTCGGGGGTTTTTTGTTGCTGAGTTGGTGTGGAGTGAGTATGCGGAGGAGGAGGAGGATTTGGGGTTGGTGGTGGATAGATGGGTGAAGGGTATAACGGGTTAGTAGTTGATGAGAGGATGATGAGGATGCTTGTTGGGAGGCTCTATGGAAGCGAAACGGTATACGGTGTAGGTATTAATTTCTCTTTACTCCTGCTTACTAGCGGATGTGCTATCTGTCTGTCTTATCTTGTAACAGTCAAGAAAAATACTCTTGTTGGCAGTGGGATTTTATGGTAAGCAGTTACGCCAGCAAGACTCCTATGGACATGGATTGAACAGTGGGGAGCGGAACCAGAAGAAGTCCGTTGTCATCCGCTTAGTAAACTTTGGACACGTAATTTGTAAGAAGAGAGAGAGAGAGAGATCAAGTGTGCCTGTTGTCATCGATGATAGAACGGTTTGCTCATTACATTGACAGGCCAGCCACGGATCGGGTGCGGAGGTTTATCGAATTCACACATGGTACTTCGCTTGCTTCTATCGTTACAGCAGTGGTGGCATTTTTGCTAGTCATCTTCTTTTTCCTTTGTCCTTAATGAACGTATGGCGACGAATGCGACTTGGTACGCTCTTACTGAGGACGCTTTGAAGAATTCATTCAAAGCGAGGGGGCAGTGGGTTGGGAGCGCGAAAGGGATTCTTGTGGAAATGAATGAATGAATGATGCATCCGCTGACGGGTTGTTATAGATCAAAGATACTATCGCGGTGGTTTCTCCGACGGGGCCTTTGGTCTTTCTGCCAAACTCGTTTGCGGATAAAATACGGAATATGAAGGAGCCTCACTTTGGCAGAAATTTGATACAACTGGGTCGAGTTTGGTTGAAAGCTATCTTGTTGTTGGATGTAGCTTGCTGTGTCACTTGTGATAGGACGCGTTGGGCCATTATCAGGGATTGACTCCGTTTTTAAGTGGCCAATCAACACGACGTTACTCAAGAAGTCGTCCGGCTTGATTTTACCTGATCTTTAGGTATATATGCACTGCAAGTTTTACGTGGTGTATAGAGTACTCACATCTTCAAGTAGCATCACTGAAGACATGAACACCGAAGTCGAAGCCGTTCTCATGGATATGCTAGGCTAATGTCTGACCTTATCGAGAATAAGCATGGGATCCCGTAAATTAGGGAAGACATAGTGTCGATTCTCTCGGAACACGGCTGAAAAAAAGACGTCGTTGGCTTCGATGAAGCTACTCGATAGCGCGATGAAAGAATCGCAGCGCTTGAATAAGTTGACTGATTGTAAGTCCTATCCTCCATCTTCATTTGTGTACATCTGAAAATGTTACAGTCGGAATGCAACGCGTAGTCCTATCCAGCGTAACTCTCTCTAATGGCACCGTCATCCCCCAAAGCTACAAAGTCGTCGTCGAACACCGCTTCTCGGACCCGAATCTGTACCCCAACAGCGAGCAGTTTAAGCAGATTGGTTTCTTAAGCTACGCGAGACTGGTCAGAGTCGGTAGCATTTCGTAACAGGGTCACCTAAACATCTCGAGTTTGGATACGGAAGGCATACGTGCCCCGGTCGCTTTTTTGCCAGCATTGAGGTTAAGATTATTGTAGTCTACTTGCTTATCGAGTACGATTGGAAGTTTACGGAGAAAGGACGGTTACCGACGCCTTTTGCTGGGGCGGAGTGTATTCTTAATGATAAACAAAAAGTTGTGATGAAGCGTAGGTAAGAGGAGATCGATCTGGGGTGCCTTTAAACTCTATGATGGCACAGTGAAAGAGAGAGAAAATGTTAGATAGTGCAGTCCATAACTTTGGTGGCTAGCTGCAACGTGCTCAAAATCGTCCCAAGGCTGTATCGTCCGGATAGATCGGCACAGATGCGGTTCTGGGGGTCCTTGTACTCACTGTACTGCAGGAGGAAGTGGGCGACGATCTGCCGTCTCTCTCCACAACGGCTGCGGGGACTGGTAACGGACGGGCCATGTCGATAGAAGAGGAAGTCGTTGAGGTCTATCTTCTCGGTTCGCAGATGCACTAGCAGCGCGCCCTCCCTTTTTGCTGAGCTGCAGCACTTTTTTGGTAGGCGTCGGCGTGTGCCTGTATATCACGCTGTCTTTCCTGTCTTCCCGCCATGCACCAAATCAAGCCCTTTCTACTAGTATCTTGTACCACTTTCTGAACGTTATTCTAAGTGGGTACAGCCGCAAAGGTGGTGTGCAGTATCGATGGGGTGTCTGGCCTCATGTATACAGATAGTGTATACTGTATGAGTGGGCATACTGCTACCGTCGATGTGGATACTAAGGCTGTTGTCTGTTGCGCATTCTGCGTCGTGGCGGTCTCAGGCCTTGTCTGTGTTGCCGGTGATTTGGGTATGTGGCCCTTGCTGCTATGGAGGCGTGATGAATGGCGTGATGTGGTCTTGCCTGTCTAGATTACGCACTTGCTTGCTGTTCAGCGCTTCTTAAACTTTATGCAAAGGACTCTTGTATGCGGGTTGTTGTTATTGCTATAATGGATCGAAGTGATGGTGGTGGCCTTATGAATGGTGGCTTGTTGTTGAGATGAAGCAGTGTCTTGGCATATCTGGGAGAAATGTATCGACACCACTGTAAATTGTATGCTGGTAGGCATATATCTACTTCAAATCGACCCCAGTGTATAAACAAGTAGACTTGTATATCTTCTACGGCATCTGCAGGCTGCGGTACTGCTGTGGAGTCAAAATGCCTGCAGTTTCGTCTGTTATAGAGGTTGTTCCGTTACATAGGGACGTAAGTACTGCATGTCAGCTATTCGGAAGGCTTATCTAATATAGGTAAAGCGCGCTTTCCAGTACTATACTGTATATAGTAGATATTTGTCTCGGTCACGTCAACGTCTACTTACTACGCTGCACCTCAACGTCGTCTTGTAGTATATGTGAGTATACTTATGTAGAGCATTTCCATAAGGGGGGCTGGGTGGGCCTAATGGTGGACTAAGCCTGATATGCTCAGGGGACCCTAGTCGGGATCGCGGCCAACGGTTTCACCAGGTAGTGTGCATCTTCGAAAGCAAGCCACCTATGAGAGGGTAGCATGGGGAGATGATGATGTGGTGTGTGTGGTGATGCACCTTCAGCCGCACGAGTGTGGGAATACTACGTAGCTGTGCATCGTCCGAAATTGGAATAATCTAGCAGCAAAAAAATAAAGAAAGATGTTGGTGCTAGGACAAGGCCGCACGGGGACGGGTGGCCGCAACGCACTGGACCGTCTTCAACGACTTGAACAACAAGGGGAGAGGCATGGACAGGATCGTCGCAATGGGCTCGACTGATGTGGACTCAGAGGGGCGTTGGCAAGAATGCAATACGAAAGTGCATGAGGAATGACCTCGGACAATAATTGGGATGCGGAGCCTGTATGTTATATTTAGCGTGTGCATCGCCCAGTAGCGCGGCGGGCGGCCCCCTTTGGCTTAGTTTGCCTCCGCCGTCCGCTTGCTGATGCTGCTCTGCTGCCACTGCGCGCAAAGACCAACCAGGCCCGGCTCTCCTTTCATCAGCCTTGAATCATCGACAAACTCTCTTTCTTTCCCTCTCGCCGTCCCGCCTCACCCTCGTTCCTACCCCACGCCTCCCGCTTCCTCTCCGTCAAGAATTCTGCCCTTCGCCAGTCACTCGTTTCAGCGGACGAAGGTGTACCCTCTTCACGGCTTGCGTAATCCCTTTTTACCCTGGCGTCGCACCTGCATCGGCCCTAGTTGTTGACACTACTCCCGCCCCCCCGAATACCTGCACTACCACCCACTCGGTCCTCGACAGCCTCTTGCTCGCCCCTCTGCGTCTTCACTCGCTCAACTTCTACGCGATCTCTCCGCCGCCCTTCGAAACTCGAGGAAGAAACAACATAATCACTTCTAGCTTTTGGCATTAATTTCTTGGCAAACATGAGACCAGCTCGGATTCTCGCGGCCGTCGTGGCCATGTCCTCAGTGACGCATGCCATTTCGGATGCTTTTGACAATATTCACGGCCTGGCTGACGTCAAGGAGGTGCTTTTTGGACGACAAGACAGTATGTTTCCACCCAAATAAAATCAGGAGATCCTGACATGCATACTAACGGCATGACCTGTAGACAACAACAACAATAATAATAATAACAACGACAACAACAACAACAAGTCAGATGCCCCAGCGAGCACACCAGCCCCCAAGCCCACGGGTGATAGCAACAACAACGACAACAACAACAATAGCAGCAATGACAACAATGACAACAAGACCAGCAACAACAATGACAACAAGAGCGGTGACAACAACGACAGCAAGACCGCATCTGACCCCAAGGAAACCGGAACACCCACAGGCAAGGAATCTGGCAGCAAGACCACCAAGAAGCCAACAAAGTCAACAACTTTCGATCCCCGGCTTCCCGCTGGTGGTATTACCATGGTCACTCCAGACGCTCTTGCTGGTTCACAATATTACAAGGTCGGCGACTACATCACATTCGCCTGGAACTACACCTCCCTCTCCGTCACCCCCACAGCCATCGACGTCCTTGCCTCCTGCACCGCCAACCAAGCCACATACACCATCGCTGTCAACATGTCTTCCGCCGAGACACAGGTGGTATGGAACACCAAGGAGACCCCAGAGGGCCAGGCACCCTTCTTGACCGAGAACTACAAGCTCCTCATCTACGACTCCAACTCGACTGCCACGGCACCACCGCGAGCTGGCTACTTGGGTGCTTTCAGCGGTTTCACCTTCGGCATGTACCTGCCCCAGCCATACACCTCTCTCCAGGGCAAGTCTTCTTCTGTTGTTTTCTCTGATAAGCTCCGTGGACTAACAAAATACAGATGGCTGGAACTGCCCCAACTGCAACTCCGCCCTGTCAAATCTCGAACGAATGACGCTCACAACCATGCTCTTCACCTGCGGAACAACAGTCGGTTCGCTAGTGTACTTTACATACCAATTTGGCCTGTGGTGATGAAGCAATCCAGTCTGGCTCGACTTCATCCTGATTTAGCCTCTCCGCCACACCCCCCTTCCAGAGACGCTCAAACGCAAAGACTCGATCCTTGGTCGCTTACGATAACGGCATTCCTTCTTTACGCTTCACTCCTGTCGATATATCTACGTGTACACACTGCGCATTTTCATCACTCATTTAGATTATTTGTTTTTAAAGAAAAAAATTGGCGGCATCTTGGTGGGTGTTGCAACGGCCGTTGGTCTCGGTTTATTGTTGTTTTTTGCCTCTCGACCGACTTGCACAAAGCAGACGATGGAGCCAAGGCAGATCCCCTAGCCACACTCCTTTAGTCTTTTTTGAGAGGGGAAGCAAAGCTCAGGGTACCCAGGCATCTGGCGCTGCAAAGGAGTTTTTTTTGATTTAGGTTGTCATTTAGGAACGGAAAATGGAGGAAGGACAAGCTGAGGAGATGTTCTTGTGAACCTATCAACCATAGGATAATATTTTGCCGTGTAGCAAAGGCGGGGAAGAGAGCGGAGGGAGAAGAAAAGATGAATACGAATTTTAGTGCCCTGTTGGGTCTGTCCCTTTTTCTTGTGCAATTCCCATGATCCACCAACATAACGCTTCATCTTCTACCATTTACAAAACATATCATGAACATTTTGCTATTGTCCTCTACATCTCTACAAGTATCCTTCTTTGCAAATCGCCATTGTTGACGTCCACCAGTATATATATTACCTAATACCTCCGCACACCCATTCAATAAGCAACATTTGAGAAAGAATAAAATATTCTGCAAAACAAAACAGTCATAAGAAAAATCCCGAAATGGGCAAATGGTATCTTGCTAAGCACACCTCATGAACCCCTACGCTGGGATCGCCAGAGTAAATAGACGAAAAGAAAAGAAAAGAAATAAAAAACAACAAAAAGAGGACTCTTCCATCCATCCATCCCAGGGAATGAATGCAGAGAAAAACTGGCCCTGCAGCGAAAGGGATTTGGGACCGAAACTTTTTTTCCCTCCACGTTCCCCCCTTCCACACTCACAAGCTTTAAAAAGTACTGGCATCCCTATCCACGACGAACACTTGACGCCCCCCTCGTAGGAGGAGTCCTCCACTCATCCTTGAGCACCCACCTCCCCCTCTGCGCACTCCCGCTCTTCTCAAGCGTAGCAATCAACTTGAGCATTTCCTTGAACTCCTCGTTTCTACCAGGCTGCGCACGACAGTAGTGGTCAAAGTGGTCGACAAGCATGCGGCTGGGGACTGTCCCGCCGTGAGTAAGCATAAAGTCACGGATCATTTCGAGCATCCGGCGCCCCCGGAAAGTCTGGGGCGTCGTGCTAGTAGTGGCAGCAGCGGTGGTGGGGGCGTCTGATGTCGTACTGGGCACTGGCCGGCCTTGACGCGCGGCGAGATTGTTGAGGATCGAGGTTGAAGAGGGGAGGCCGCCGCGAGCACCTCCGCGTCCACCACGACCACCGCGCGTAGATGGGCCTCCTCCGCGAGGGGCGTCGGGGCGTCCTGCTTGACCGAATTGGCCAGTCCAGGTCGGGGTTCCTGCGGGCACGTTTCTCGCTTCTTCCATACTTTTTTTCAGCTGCTCGGCTGCCAGGGCGGCTTGTCGCTTTGCTTCGCGTTGGATGTAGGCGGGATCGGCTTGCACTTTGCGTTTGCGTCCCCCAGCTGTCGAGTTCATAATAGCATCGTGCTCGAGCACCGAGTGGACGCCGGTTTTGGCAAATATGGTAGACATGAGACGGGAATCTGTGGGCGTTTTGTCGTCGGTAGCAGTCCCATCTTCGTTCGTGGGAGTCTCTTCAGAGTCGGAAACAGGAGCTTTGAAAGCTTCGGATCGTGATATGCCTTTTACAGCAGCGAGATCCTTGGCTGCTGTAGCATCTTCCTTTTCTTCTACTGCTGTTTTCCCATCCTCTTCGAATTTGACTTCGGAGCCGCGAAACAAGTTACCGGTTTCTGTCTCCCCCTCTGCACTCTCAACACCAAGTGTGAACAAATCGTGCAGATCACTCATCTGGAACGTCTGTCGCTGTTTTGGGTCCTTCAGCACTTTGTTGGTCAAGAACTGCTTGAAGATTTGACGATGGTAGATCTTCTCTTCGATAGTACCAGCCGACATGAGGCGGTAGATCTCGACTTCTCGCTTCTGTCCCAGACGCCACGATCGCTCTCGAGCCTGAATATCAGTCGACGGATTCCAATCTGGGTCGTATATGATAACGCGATTGGCACCTGTGAGGTTGACGCCAAGTCCACCGACTTTCGTGGTGAGTAAGAAAACATGAAGGTTCGGATCCGTGTTAAACTCGTCCACCATGTTTTGCCGATCCTTGATGGGTGTCTCGCCATCCATTCGCCGCCAGTTGATGTCAGGAAGCTGGCTAACGAACTTTTGCAGGATGTCAAGCATGATGCGGTGCTGAGCAAAGAGTAACGTCTTGTGCCCGCCCTTCTTCCACAGCGATAGTAACTCCTTGACGACCTGCATCTTTCCCGATTTATTGGCATTGCCATAATCGTACCCAGGCTTCTTGGACAGAGTCTTGTGCTCCGTAAGGTCAGGATGGTTGCATATCTTGCGGAGATAGTCGACGCCGTAAAGCATCTGGCGCTTTCCGTTTGCGATCGATCTCATATCCTCTGATGCTAGAAAGGATTCGTAAGCTTGTCGCTGCTGTTTTGTTAACTTACAGAACAGCACTTGTTCTTTCTTCTGTGGCAAATCAGTTGCAACATCAGCCTTGAAACGCTGGAGCAAGTATGGGCTAACAGCATCTTTTAGGGTTTCAGCGCATCGGACTGCAGTCTCAAACTCTAGATTCGAAGCATTTGCATATCCTCCACGCTTAATTGGAAATTCGAACTGGTTGCGAAAGTTGACAAGGGTACCAAGCCGCATAGGGAAGACAAAGTCGAACAGTGACCAAAGTTCTGTTAGATTGTTTTGCATTGGAGTTCCCGAGAGGATGATGCGGTTTGGTGTACGAAGTTCCTTACAGTGAATGGTAATAGCAGTGTTGGGGTTCCGAATCTTGTGTCCCTCATCTAAGATGGCGCATTCCCATTCAGTCGGAATCAGAAACTCGGCGTATGTTTGCAGCCCCGAGTAAGTGGTGACGAGTACGTGTCCATCCCGCTTGACTTTTTCGAGAATCTTCTTAGCAGCTTTACCAGCGCCAGTCAGAGTCGTATCGTAGTCGCCATATTTCCGAAGCTCCATCTCCCGTTCTATGCGGTCTTCGCGTCGGGTATCTAGCATACCGCTACCAGACGTATGTAGGATAGATACACGTAGAGCTGGCCACCAGCGGTGAAACTCATTAACCCACTGCTTCATGACGGTTGCTGGGCATACCACAATAACAGGCTTGGTTAGTAGCTTCGAATAATGTAGGCCTGCAACGAAGCTGACGGCCTGTATTGTTTTACCAAGACCCATCTCGTCTCCAATGATACCGCCCACGTTTTGAGAATACAGTTCCCATAACCACTGCACACCCGTCTTCTGATAGTCGAATAATGCTGGATAGATATCACCAGGAATTCGAAATCCACCATCGAACTCTGCATCGGCTTCAGTAGGATGAGGCTGGTAACACTCTTCTTCTTCTCCTTCTTCCTCTGCAGTTGTCTCGCCACTATTGGCTTTCGCCTTCCTCCTTGCAGCTGCTCGGTTCTTTGACCAAGTCTCAATGCGTTTCCGGTAGACTCGCTCATTACCGTCATCAACACCTGCAAGATCCTCAACCACTGCTTCTTCTGTAGATTCAGCTTTGGCCTTCTTCGGCTTTTTGCCCTTGGCTTTGCGCTTGCGACCGGTAGCTTCCTCTGCATAGGGGTCATCTCCGGCTGTGTCTTGCACGTCTTCATCCGACTCATCTAACGTCGCAAGCTGGCGATCGGTCATACCAGGCTCGAAGGCATCATCAGAGTCCGGATCTGTAAAACCGATGTCTGCACCGGACTCGCTAGCGGGAGTAGCCTTCCTTCGCTTCCTAGAGCGTGCTGGAGGATGTGGACTGGGAGCTTCCGAACTGGACTCGACGTTATCAAAGCCAGGCTTCATCAAATTCCGGTGCGAAACAGGTCCATTTACTGCCTCGACCACCATGTCTTCAACCTCGGCATCCAGCATGACCTCCCCTAGAGTCCCCGAGCCCGGTTGATTCTGCGCCAACTTGGAGAAAGGCGTAATTTTTCCTGTGCGAATAAGCCACTCACGCTGTGTTTCGTTAGGTAGGGGCCCATTTGCGCTATCTCCCGCTGCTTCATCTGCCCCAGGTTCTTTGTGGCGATCGTTGATGCGCTGTTGTATGCCATCCATCTCTTTATCCAGGTCGTCGATCTTCTGTCGATATGCTGCCATCTCGCCACGGAGCTTTGCCTTCTGTATATCGAGAGCTGGTAAAGCCAAACGGTTTTTGAGCTTCTGTATAGCAGCCTCTGCTCGCTTTGCCTCAGCCTCCAACTTCTCTATGCGCTTTTTGTCGCGAGCATCTGCCTGCTCTATGAGCATCTGGTCGGCCTGCCGGCCAATATCTCGTTCCAAGTCGTCTTGTGCTCGAGTACCGGTTGTCAGAAATTTGAGTCTCTCCGTTTCGTCCGCATCCGAGGCGATGCCTTCGTCTGGGATCTGGTTGCCATCGTCGGCTGGAGCGTCGTCAATTGTGGTGGCAGGCGCCACAGGGGACGCTTCGTGTGCAGAGGGCGACAGCATTTTGAGGACGAACTTTGAACAAGAGGCAGGAGTTCGAAAGGACGTATCGTGGTTCAAGACGGGTGAAGACTGGCTGGTGAAGCCCCGCCACTGTCAGGTTGAAATCAAGGGAAGGTGCGCTGAAGGCAACAGCGGGCAGGCGCACAGCGGGAAGGGACGCAAGCCAGGAGGCTATGGTATAAGTGAAGGCATCGCGACAAAAATTAGAATATTAAAGACAGTGTATCAGGCGACGCTACAACAGAACGTGCCGAGTAACAAAGTTACGACGACGATGAATACTTTTGACCGTAGCGATGATATCACTACCTAGAACGCGCTAGGCGGGCGGTCGCGGCTCACTTCCGCGTTACTTAACATCGCCCCTCGACGCGTCTAGACATGTAATGTATCCAAGCGTCGAACAGACTAGGAAAGCCTCCAACACCAGCACATGTACACGTCAGCCCAACAAGGAGTTGCATTCCCTGCTTCACTAATTGCAACTGGTCGGGTTCTGCGATGAGCACCGCTTGTTGCATGCCATGTCTTCTTCTTGTCACACACCTTAGCATAGAGCAACCCAGACATATTCACTGGACATATTGGCCCAACACCTCTGCGTTCAGCCTCGTGCATGTCGTAGCGGTGGCGCCAGTTCGAAACATACCGCTCCCCCCTTTCTTCTCGAAGACTGACTCGTAATCTCAAATCAGATCAGTTGGGCACGTAGGCATTTTGTATTCAACAAACTCAGCTGGACCCCGGGGCTTACATACGTACATGCTATATGATCTGCTTGGCTGCACAACGCATCACCAATAAGAGCCGGGATCTAATGTAAATACTTGTGTATGTTGTGAAGGGCGCCTCACCCAAAGGGCGCAACCCTCAGTGGCTACAGCAAGTATCGAACTGGCTTGCTGTCTCATGCGCGGCCCTGTCTTCAATATGAAAGTTTATCCGGCCCATGGTACGACCCAGCAGAGACGATCGCCTAGAGAATCCTCCCGTGGTGGGATGTGGGGAAGCGAGGCAACGTTACTCTGTGTGCAGGGCGGCTCACCTGTTTCGGTAATGTATTACCAGGATCCCATCCTTTTGTCAATGCTTTAGGCATTTCCTTCTGTGTGTTTGGGACAGTTTGGGCGAGACTGAGTCGCCGCTCGCCCGCTTCCGCTCCTGATCAAGCCACTCATGATTATGATGGTCCCGTGGCCGTCCGCCCGCTGCATGATGGCGTTAGAGGGCGCCATGTTGTGGGCCATTGGCTGTCGTGTATATGTTTGATAATCAGGGCTTGTGTTTCCGTTTCGCGCGAACGTGAACATGACTTGTGTAGCTCCTCCCTAATACCAACGCAGCAAACCTCCATCTGCTTGTCTCCATGACATGATCGTTCGTCTTGCACCAACACTACGCCCACATGGCTCCTCATGGACTGCTTTCCCTTGTACTGGCCTTTGCGCTCACCTCTACGTCGACCATAGTGGTGGCTCTTAGGTGAGCACGTGTCCGCACAAATGTCATCAGGCCCTGATCTAACGCATCTCAGATTTTACACTAGGTACTTTATCGTTGGAAAGCTTACTACTCCCGACTGGGTCATGCTCCTGGCACTTGTATGTTGATCATCTATGACCCATCAAGAAACCTTGGCTAACACTAGCACAGATAGGGACCTGGTACGATACACCTTTTTATACATGTACGCAATACAAAGACTAACATTTACGCTCTATCTCGCAGGGCATCTACAGTGGTCAACTGGTATATGGTGCAATTCATGGACCACAGCAGTGTCGATGTAAGCTACCGCTGCCCATTGAAGCGATGGAAAACTGACATATTGGAGCCCAATGTTCCGGACACAATGGAGAGGGTCGTTGTTGGCGCTCTGCTATCGATTTGGTTATATCGATTGAACTACATCATCGACCTCTGCCTTGTCAAAACATCAATCCTACTGTGTAAGTCGTGTTTCGTGTTTGAACCCTCTACATTGCGGGGTTCCGGAATTTGGATGTCCAATGTGCATGTAGCTGATACAACGACAGTCTACAATGAAATCGCGGCATCGAACCAACGCTTTCACTTTGGCATTCGAGCTCTACTCTTAATCAACATTGTTGGTGGAATTGCCTTTGCCTTTGCCTCCATCTTCATGTGTTATCCAGTCGCTGATGCATGGTCGTTTGAGGTCTTCAAGGGCGGAGTGAAGGGTAAGGCAGCCACGCAATGTTATTACCCAGGACCTTTTTGGCTCTCCAACGCTGGCTACAACCTCGTCACCGACGTGATCATCTGGACAGTGCCGATGGCGTTTTTCATGAATCTCCAGGCAATACCACTAAGACAGCGTCTCGAGCTCGTGGCGACCTTTTCGGTGGGTATCGTAGCTATCGTCGCGTCGGTAGTTCGACTTTACACGATTGTGCTCTGGTTGTCTAGTTTGAAGCAGCAGAGAATAAACACGGCAAATGTGTTGATATGGAGCCAGGTGGAACAGCACGCCGGTCTCATAGCAGGTTCTATCCCGTTCTTGCGGCCATTATATCGTCAAGTGCTGGCTAGGGCAAGGAGAAGAGAGCAGAATAGCCCCAGCCCGGCAGCGCATCTAGTTGAGGAACCTGCACCAGAGATGGTCCAGGGAATGCTCCGGAGGCCCATCCTTCCATCAACAACCTCTACATGTGGGTCGAGCAACCGGGAGTTCAGGCGACCCGAGTGGGTTCTTGAACCAATTGAGCCTGTTGGGAAGGATTGCATTTGGGAAGTGCCGCACCCTACTTGAGGCTTTTTGTTTTCAACATACAGAATGTGTTATGACCATGGTTTGGGTAGATTCTAAAAAGGCGTAACATTTGGTTGAGGGCGAGTCGCAAGACTCGAGTTAGAGGCAAGGGCTATTCGATATGTATAATGGATAACATCATGACCCATTCTGATAAGCTAGCGCGCAGGGGTGTATCTGGTTACTCTGCCGTTTGAATTCTCTCGAGATGGAGAGCAAGTAGTATACCCCTTCTTGGCAAGACTTGATGGTAACGCCACAATTGGCCATGGTGGTATGACATGCCGAAAGGCGCCACAGATGCCGGTCTGGCGACTGTTCATATGTAATCAGCGGTTGGTGGGCTCACCGTGACACGATCCACTGAGGGAGCGGCATAGAGAACATGGCGAGAATCTTTCGGCAGCGGGTTGATAGCAGCTAACCCCCTATGTGGCAGAAGGCGGTCAGCCCCAAGCGGTCGTAGTGAGCGGTATGTGATTGGTCAGCCGGCAAAGGCGCATCTCTGGGCAGGCACTAGTGCCGTAGTGTGGACGCGTCGGCCTTCGGAACAGCAGTGAACCTGGGTGGCGAAAGTGGTACGAATGGCGATCAGGGCGCGGCCAATCTGCAATTTACTTAATCCACCGCCTCCTTTGCCGCTACTTTGCTCGTACCCTCACTGCGTTACCGCCAATCGCTCCCTCATCGCCTCTGCTCCTTGCAGTCGTTCCTTCTTTTTTTCTTCTAGTCTCTGGTACAAAAAAAAGAGACACCCACAACGGTTGTGCTGCGCATCGCGACCCTGCAAAATGTACGTCCCCAACGCAATCCGCATCCCGCACAACAACACATACTTACTCGCTCCAGGAACAACGCAACCTCAATCCTGACGCCCATGGCGCAGGAAACGTACTGGGGCTCTTTTGAAGAGATTTCCAAGTACAATGTGCAGCTCAACTATCTCGAGAGGATGTGGCTGACCTGGTACGCATGGATGGGCAACGACATCCTGGCCACGGGCATCATGTCTTTTACTATCCACGAGCTCTTCTACTTTGGCCGCTCGCTCCCCTGGATCATCATCGACTGCATACCCTACTTCAACCGCTATAAGATTCAACAGGTGCGTTGCCAACTACATGGGCTTGGCATTGACGAAGCTAATTCAACGTAGAACAAAATCCCTACTGCTTGGGAACAAACTCAATGCGCCCTCCTCGTCCTCCTCTCCCATTTCACTGTCGAACTCCCTCAGATCTGGCTATTCCACCCCATGTGCCAGTACTTTGGCCTCCAGACCTCTGTTCCCTTCCCCAGCATCTACAAGATGGCATACCAGATTGCCATTTTCTTCATTTTCGAGGACGCATGGCACTACTGGGCCCACCGCCTCATGCACGTCAGCTCATTCCTGTACAAGAACGTCCACAAGATTCACCACCAATACTCTGCCCCCTTCGGTCTCGCCGCCGAGTACGCCTCGCCCATTGAGGTCATGGTTCTGGGTTTTGGCAGTGTCGGTGTTCCCATTGTGTGGTGCGCCATCACCAAGGACCTTCACATCCTGACCATGTATTGCTGGATTGTGCTACGCCTGTTCCAAGCCATTGATGCCCACAGCGGTTACGAGTTCCCCTGGAGTCTGCACCACATCCTGCCTTTCTGGGCAGGTGCTGAGCACCACGATGTTCACCACGAGAAGTTCATTGGCAACTACGCTAGCAGCTTCAGGTGGTGGGACTTTGTCCTTGATACCGAGGCTGGTGCCGAGGCCTCCAAGAGGCGCAGAGAGCGCAAGATGGCCAAGCTCAGGAAGGCCCAATAAAAGAGGAATGAGCAATTGTAATGCGTACGGAGAGACGTCGGTCCTGGCTGACTTTTCTGACCGCCAGTCTCAACGTGGAGCTGGCATGAAAACGGCGTTTTTTGGTACAGGGAAAACGCAGTTATGCATTTGGTGGTATTAGACGGCACAGACCCTGGATAATAGTATGAGTGTTGGCTGTACATAGGAGCCGGGTCTCTATTAGAACATCTATATAATAATTGTTACGGTCGTTATGTTTATACACATCCATTTCATATCATGCAAAAGTGAGCTGGCTTTCCGAAAACCGGACGTTCCAAAGCAAAGTGGTGTATTGAATGTTGCTATTGTTGAGCAGTATGTACGGGACTCGAACGACGCCCCTGGTGATAGCGCGGAATGGTCTTGGCGCGGCGAGGGCTGGCGCGCGTCGGCATTCCGAGCTTCATCAACTTTCTTTGGCCCTCTCATAGCCGCGCAACCACCACCATCACCGAAACTCCATAATAACCCGACGACAAGATGAGCTCCGGACGCCCAGTCGTCCACCAGGACTACATTGCGAAAATCAGATATTCAAATGCGCTGCCTCCTCCACCATGCCCTCCCAAGCTGCTAGACATTCCCAACACCGGCCTATCGAGCGGGCAGTACACGTCGGCGGGCTTTGCATCTAGGCTTGCGCGAGAACAATCGCTGAATATTGAAGCTGATGCTGAGCTGGGTATGCCCATCGATCTGGTCGGTATTCCCAAGGTATTCGATGGAGATGAGTCTGGTAAGTGAATCTGCAGCAGCGCAAATGGCGCACAGCGATTGACGCGTCGTATAGCTATTCAGGCTATGCCTCACCCGCCGCCGCTTAATGCCGCAGATAAGGCGCTGATGCGACCGCCAAATGCGCTCGGAAAGAGTACCAGCCACGTCTCGGGCGCTACCTTCTTGCGGCGAACGGAATACGTTACCGCAAGTACCACTGGCGGCTCTAAGTTCGAATCGAGCAATTCGTCCAACACTATGCGCCTGCGTAGGAAGCGGAAGCAAGTCGAGACGTCCCTCGATGATCCTACAAACATCTCGCGACACATTCTCAAGGGCTTCAACATTGCCTACCCAGCAGATGCGTACAATGGACAGGACAACGCAGAGAACATTAGGGCGGCAGAGTCGACACCTGAAGAGCGACTGGCATGGAACAAGCCCAAGCACCCCAGGAACCCCAATCTCAAGCTGCTCGACTCGTACCCGCTTCTTCCAGACTGGGACGCTACACCCGATACTGGTGGATACATGGTCTTCAAATTCACCGCACCACCCATCAACAACCCACTCGATCCCTCATACGACCCACGACTTGACGTCGCTCTTCTCCGTCCCGCCGGTCAGACCATCCAAGATCAAGAGCGGTACATGGAAGACCTCCAAGCACACAAGCTCGACCCAACAGTCCCGCCACCCATTGCACGCTACCAATTCGAGTTCTTCCTACCCTCAGATAAGAGCAAAGTCCGCGGCATCAAGCGCAACTTCACCACACACGACCCCACCAACGAAGCCGATATCGACTTTGACATTGCCGAAGACGACGAAGGCCAGCCCCGCAAGTGCTTCAAATACGACAATATCCGCACCTACGAGACATCGCAGCAAGTCGGCGACCCAAGCGATACTTATGGTGATGTCGTCGCCCTTGCACTACACGACCCCGAGAAACACGAGTCTGAACCCCTGCGCGATACCAAGTTGCAGAAGGCAGCATACTTTTACCCTATTACTCAACGGACGAGCTTGAGGCCGAGACGACCTGGTCGTGTCGATATGACGGAGGAGCAACCTAAGGTGGATATCATTGAGGCTGCGGGTAAAGATCCGGAGTCGCATGAGCGGAGGGAGATGTACAGGAAGAGGGCTGAGGGCATGGATATTGGGGAGTAGAGTTATTCTATTTGATTCGTGGGGGTCATTCCTTGGGAAATATTAAAGTCGTAGGGAACAAAGACTTAGGGAGGGTCTTTATGTATTCTGAATATGGAAGACTGGGATTCATTTTGCACCTTTTTTTTTGGAGAAATATTCATCAGCGTGGGCGTTTTATAAGTTGGCATATCGAAGGGATTTTATTGCCATGCTCGAGATCAATAAAATGGGGACTTTTTCTGAATACGAGATGATGTGCAGATTGGTGGGGTGAGTGATTTGTGAAAGACGGTTTTGTTGGTTATGGTGATTTTTTTCTTACTTTGACTGCAAAGTCATTTTATTGATACCCGATTCCAGCACGTTAGGGTGTAGCTTGTCATTCTTTTCTGAGATAATTGACCTGATACGTTACATAGCAAGCAGATATGAAAAAAAAGTCAAGTAATGGTGATATACAGTGGAGTAAGTAGGGGGTGTATGAAATGTCTATTCTTTCCAAGTGAAAATGACTGGGTTGGTATGCTGGGTATTTGAACAGAAGAGCTATTAAAAGAGTAATTTATAAGAAGGCGGAAAGACCACAGGAAACGGAGACACTCATTTAGGACTAGTGTATCACGTGATCTGCACGATGCTCAGTGATCAGTA